GAATGGACGAATTTATTAGAAAACATTTTCGTTGATTTTTAGGCACGTTATTTTATAATATAGATACGTTTAGATACGAAGAATTTCGAGGTTGTTATAAAACTAAACAGAGTATAGTAAAAAAAAGATTTTGTTAACTTAATTAAGAAAAATACCATAAATCCTGTAAAATTTCACTTTGTGCTTTACCAGAGAGCCTTCTTTGGGTTTCTGATGGAGCACGTTGCACGATAGAGGGTTAAAACGGAATAGATTGCGGAGGGGTAGCGCGTAGATTAAGAGAAAGACAAAAATGGCAATGCGTATTTAACCGATTTCTAAAAGTTCACCGTGAATCACGCAAACCTTTCATTTATTTTCAGACACGAGCGGGGGATCTGTTGCGCGTAATGAAACGGACTGTGGGAAGAAGCGGGGACGGGGAGCACCGTGGACCGATGCAGAGATAGCCATTATCAGCTATACTTGATGATACTAACCCGTAGATCCGAACTTGTGGGCTTTTTTATATGTATACCGCAAGCTCCTATCTACCGGTACATGTAGTCAGGCCAGCATTTAAGCTTTTCGACGGAACCTCCTCCTTCTCCTTCACACCCTTCTGCCTTCCTGAAAGCCCGCGGCACTTCCGGTTATCAATGGGTCTAGACTTCTTGCCGAGTGTAATTTTCTCGATCGAACCGAGCATACGAGAAACAGCAAGCGTACGAGTATAAGAAGGAAACAGAAAGATAGAGAAAGAGAGACCAAAGCCGAGAAAAAGAGTAAGAGAGTCCGCTGCAATTAGGAGGTGAATCGTCCTCCCACTTCCGGTCCAGCGAGCGATTAATCACGAGTGACCTGCTCTCTCTCTCTCTCTCTCTCTCTCTCTCTCTCTCTCTCTCTCTCTCTCTCTATCTATCTATCTATCTATCTATCTATCTATCTATCTATCTATCTATCTATCTATCTATCTCTATCTCTATCTATCTATCTATCTATCTTTCTCTCTCCCCCATTAAACCAAAATGTAAACGTTGGAATGTGGAGCAAGCTAATTGCACCGGGAGTCGACAGTGCGTCAACGGTGAACAGTTTTTAATACGAATGTGAAATTTACCATTATTAGTAGTTGCTGTATCGTTATGAAGGTGTCCAAGCTTGATAGTACAATCTGGACTAAGCTTAGTTTGAATCCATGTTTCCAAATATTCCCATTTAATTATTCAAACAAACTCGATCATGTATCTTTATAGTAATTACACTTTGATAATAAACTTTGCTACGATAAACTTGGATAAAGTCAAGAATAAACATGATTATTCTAGAGATTAAGAGATGTATACAAATTCACTCAACCCTTAAGTGGACTCTCAATCTCAATTGAATCATTTTACTTTATGTTGATTTTTACCAAATTGGCAAGTGGAAATTAACTTTCCTTTGAAGCATTTAAAAAGTAATTAAATAATAGAGGATTACATAAATTTTCATATGATTACATTTACATATATTATACGATATTAGTTTAAACTTGTGGAGGTCATCGATAATCCACTTAAGGGTTAAATAACATGCTGGGGCTTAATATTTGGACAGTTTGCTCGCAAATGAACGTATCAAGTTCCTTCGAGTTCAGAATAAGAGAATTTCGAAACACCCAACCGTCCAAGGGCACAGTCAGAATTTTGTCTGGAAATCAATAAATAATCGACACATATTATAATCTTATACTTGCGATTTTCATTTTCTTTCCAAACAAAATCGTTCGTTTCCGATCTGGCTACGCCCTTGGCGTTGATTCTGCACCGTCGGTGCCTCTTATAAGCGTTTACAGCACCTAAAGGGTCGAAAATTCTTCGAAATGCGACCAGGCGAACGCTTGTCGCTCGGAGGGCTTAAAAAGCACACGCAGCGAGAGGAAAATCACGAAGAGGATAGACATTAGCGACGACGCCTGGGTGAGGTAGTAGGTTGTATAGTAGGGAATGGAAATTCGCGAGATACGAAGACCACTGTACAACTTGCTAACTTTCCCGGTCGTCGACGCCGCAACGTTTCGACGTCCAGCGAAAAGCCTGTATTCGAGAAGAAACAAAACCGTGGCCGTTTCGTCGTAATCGCGGAATTTGTTTAAGCGTGGGTGTGTAGCGTGGAAATAGCTGAAAGGAAGAATTAACACGTTGATCGCCGCGTCGCCCCCACGTTTGGGTCGACAGTGTTCTCGCGAAATTAGCAGAGCCTACCAATTAATATGCAAGAATATTTTATAACAAAGCAATTACGTAGAGTATCCCACGCACCTGGGAAAAACGTTGTAAAAAAAATGAAACGTCAAGGCAAGGTTAAACGGCCAAACGATGCGCATATTAAATGTAATTTTATTCTGTTTAAAAGTTTTTTAATCTCTACAAAAAAGTATTAAGGTACTTATGCTGTAAATCTGATTGTTGAAACGCTAGTAACGGACGCGAATACGCTTTATCTTTTAAGTATCCTCTATAAAAAGAGACCCGTAAATTATGGTCCAATTTGTAGAAGTACGAAGGAAACTGTTTTATATGTTGGACTTGTACTGGGCTGTCAACGTGTTAAGGTGATCTGCCGCCATAAATCTTCCGTGATTTCTCACCGAACGATGTTAGTATCAGAGATCACAAGTAACAGTTGCGTTAAAATTGATTTTTACTCGCATAAAGGGTGTAGTCGTCGTTAAATTCTAAAGGAATTTGAAAGGAAAATTAACTTTTACGTGTTGCAGTCACTAGTCGACGAATATGAGTGATGATAATCATTTTTGGGTACAAATAACCATTATGATCGATGGAAATAGTTTTAAGTAAGGTGGGACGGATGGTACAGCCGTGCAAAGGGTGACTCTATGTATAAAAATAAGTAGAAAACAAAAGCACAACAACTTTTTGTTCGAGTTGGACTTGGGCGTAAGTAGAAGAGGAGATCAATGGTCAGACGCGTCAGCTAAATTTAAATTCGATTATCTCGGAAACGAAGGCTCGAACGAAAAAATGTTACTCGTACTCTTCGACGTATCTTTGCGCGTAGAATCACCCTCCACCAATGATTTTCTTTTTATGGTCTAAGTCCCGATGTACTGTATCTTCGCTTTCTACTGTTACGTAATAATCATTTTCTTTCTTTGCTTAAAGCAGTGTTTGGGTTCAGTTCTATAAAAAATACGTTACTCTGCACGCGTAACTTTTGCTGTTGGATCCCAAATCTTAAGAAAGTAAACCGTGCATTACTATCGAAACGCGAAAGCGAATGCTCGTGCATGAAACGATCAGCAGGTTTCAATCAATTATTTTTTAACACGTCACAAGCGACACACGACCGATAAGGGTTAAAATGAGATCATAGATTGTTGGATCACGAGGGGTAGACGGTGGTGGATCTTCTTAACGCCATTTCTACCGCGGTTTAGCGTCTGGTTGGAAATAGTTGATAGAAAACATTTATATAAAATGAAAAAGTTAACGGATAAAAACTTCTTAATTTCGACACCTTCGGTAGAAATAGTGTTAAGGAATGATAGAAGAGATCACGAACGAGAAAGAGAAAGAGAAAGAGTGTGTGATTGGAATGAAAATGAGAAAAAGGGCAATGGCGGGCGGGCTGATTGTAAAGCCTGCCGCGTCGCCGGTCCCCTGAGACCCTAACTTGTGACGTCGCGACCGATATCTCACAGGCTAGATTCTCTGGTATTGGCGATGAGTGCTGCCTTTTGCCGATCAAAAGTCAGTCCTAGCATCAGAGATAGAAACACGACCGGAAACGTCTCGACGTTCTGTTAAGCAACGAAGTTAAAAAGACTCGATATTCGACAATTACATGTCCAATTACGTCGTAATCATAATTGTTAATTCTCTAAAGCGCACAAAAACGATGAAATTATCGTTCAGTTACATGTAATTTTATCGTGACAAACATAATCAGATTACATTTTGTCCAAATCTGGTTTACGAGTGGCGTAAGTCCAAAATTAGTAAAAATGCATATCTTACGAAAGCAGAAAATATTAAAAATGTTTGTTTTATTTACAACCTATTTTACCTGTGTGTTGTATTTGATTTCTTCGTGTAAAATAAAAGATAATTTTATATCTTGATGGACTTACTCCATTATTCAATGATACATACAGGTTTTGCACCCCAAATAAAAATTTTTACAATTCAAATTTACCCTCTTGCAAATCAAGTTTTTTTCCAAATGATTGTTTTCTTAAGCTTTTGTACTAAAAATGGAATTCAATATAAATTTATTGTTAAAATACTCCAAATTTGATATACTTTGTATGTGATACAAAGATGTACATGAATTTCTAATTTCATAGCAAATACCAATTATTTACATGGAATTCATAATTATATACGAGTATAGTATACAAACTGTGCAGATAATGATAATAATATATTTATTCATATAAGAATTGTGATATTTGTAATGGTAACAGTTGCAGGAGTATCATTAATTACATCTACCAAATGTTTATGATTTAAAAGATCAGCTAGCATATATTTCGAATATAATTTGATGATTGAGAAAGCAGAGTATGTATTGCCTAACCAAGGTCACAAACTTGAAAACAAAAGGGTGAGCATAAGTTGTATAATATAGAACTTATCACATTTGAAAGCTTAGTTTTGAAATGTACTTTTGATTTAGAAGAAAAACGAAAAATCAATTTTTTTTAACTTATACAAATTCCCTCTTAATACAAATTTTAACCTTCATTTTAAAATTACCACATTTTGAGCAGTAAACATTGATCTCTGTATTCTTTTAATGTCATTTAATACAGTAGTATTCGGATGGGAGATTATTCAATGATGAAAGGAAGTGTCAAGGTACTCCTCGGTAAAAGATTTATAAAAATAACATTGATAAATTATTATACCGTTGGAAGGAAGGTTCCTATTTTGATGAATAAATTTATTTTAAAACAAAAATATTTTCCTTTAATTTTTCACGTAAGAAACAGTAAAACTTTTCTGTGTGCCTAATATTAGTGAACCTATGAAAACGTATAAATACGACTTTTGCAGTTACAGGGTTAAGAAATTGCATATTCCTCTGGTGGTAAGTGCTGTAACTACATATTGAAGTCTGCTGAGAACCTTGAAATTACAATGTAGAAAGAATGTTATTCATTGAAGTACTCTACACTACAGTGTATAATTCTGGAATCCATGGTGATGGTTTTACAGCGACAGTGTAAGTAATTTAAAAAAAGTAAACATTTTTGTATTAGTCTGTATTTATGCACTAAATACCAAGATATTATTGATAGATAGAAATAGTATTAAATTTTACTGTCGTTAAAGAGGTACACAAGCTCAGCTAGTATAAAAAATGTTACAACCCCAACTATCTTTTGCATATTCAATCTCAAAGTCTCGCCCCGTCATTCAGTCTCATTCTTATTTGGTATGTAGGGCCACTAATAAAAAACTGAAGTTTGTCGACAGTCGAGCCATCAGACAAATAAATACATGTGCCGGCGTTCTGTCAAAACAGGGCCATATTTCTCGTAATGTTTGCTTAATGACGAAAATCGAATATTTTTAAAACGTTGAATTTAAAAATATCGGGTCGAAAAACAATTAGGGAGATATTGAAATTCACACAAAAACAGCAGGTAACAATTTTCGTGAGAAACGTGTAGTTAATAAAATATTAGTATTTCTTTATTCAGAATCTGACTCTGTACTCAACTTCAAATTTCTGTCGCTGATATTAATACATAATCCAATCGCCAAAATTTGTTTTCAACTTTTCCGAACATATGTTCGATGTAACATAATATTTTATTTACGCATCATTTCGATAGAATTAATTCTGGGATTAACAATTGACTAGCGTGTCCGCATTTTTTGTTCACATCCGGTGACACGACTCTGTGAACTTACCGTAAGTCTGTATTTCGATGCACATTAGATTGTCTCAACAATAATCGATACTCTGGTTTTTTTTGTTAAACATCTGATATCGTATAATTTCTATCGAATATGTACAATGGTCGATGGAAAATAGTTTGGGAGCATGACGAAGGTCGTTATAACGATAAAAGAATAGCATTACATCAAAAATATCGTCTGCCTTCTTCGACCAGTCGACTCAGTTCGGCGGCTGAGTAACCCAAAACCTGCTTGAGGTCACACACGAATTTGTACACAAATCGTTTCCCGTGAACCTTAGAGATCATATCACCGTCGTAATAATACCGTAACGCGCGACTTAATTTTTCATAATTCATCGACGGTTTGTTTTTACGTGCTCCCCAAAGTTGCGCGACCGCCTCGGGTTGATTTAGCTTGAATTCACCCTCTGCTCCCACCCACTGAATGGCGCCTCTGTGTTCCCGATCAGTTAACAGTTCCAAGAGAAACTGCCACAATTGTATTTGGCCGCTGTTAACCGTTCGACTGGAGGTGGCTACTGTAATGGGCGTGGAATCAATATTTTCGAGAGGAACCGGTTTTGCTTTAGCGGTTTTTTGATTTCGTACTTTTATGGACTTGTCCACGTTATTTTCCGTAGGCAAGTCCTTTTGTACGACGGCTAAAAAAGAGACAAATTTAATTTTAAAAATTAAGAAATAAAGTTTAATCTCGATATACAGTGATTCTCTGTATGGCCAAATTAATTATCCAGTTACACACTCGAAAAGAATGAAATTAGCGAATACATACCGACGAATTTACACTTTCGAAGTAACTCCAAATGAGTCCAAAAGACTTCTCCCGGATCGAGAGGCACTTTTGCCTGAAACTCTTCTAGGGTGAGATTACACAACTGTTGACCGGTAATGTTCCAATCCACTAATCTTACCGACGCCAAGTTGAATTGTCTAACGGCCCACTGAAGCCAATGTTTCACGTGCGTCTGGGTCCATTCCTTAGGATCGGCTGGAATTTTTAGCCGTTCCTGTCGATTTACACGAACGTGTGAATCGGCAATACATATCAACACTGCATCTGTTGTTAAAAAATAATACCTGTTCCTTTTTATACTGCGGATCGACCATCCATCTTATAACGTTTCGTTTATTGTCTTCGTTGGCCGATGTGGATGCTAAATAAAAAAGAATGTACTCAGAAAAATTGAAAACATTAATAATACAATAAATGTGTATACATACTGCTACTTTCTGCCAGCTCTATATAATCCTCCGCAGGCTTCAAAACATCCACTATATTAATACGCCTTTGCGTTGCCTTTATCTGAACATTTACTTGAACCAGTCCCTCTCCTTGTACGCACTGATCAACTAAATTTTTGTGACTTTCTAACTGAAAAACAATTGTAAATTGAAAAATATCATCACCCATTGCACAGTCATGTTGGCTTACCATCTGTGCATCTTGCAACCAAAAAGAATAGTCGGTTAATTCAACTCCAAGTCTTTGTTCTAATAAATTTCTCAAGGTAGACAGAGGCTCTCTTATGTCCATGTGTTGCATTAGAACACCTTCATTGCAATCCTCTCCATTTGTTGTACCTTCCAATGCAAAGCTTGGCTCTACTTCTAGATCTGAACTCTCTTGTTGCAACTGAGCCATTATATCGTCTTCTTGAGACAACATAGCTTCAGGCTCCATTTTGATGCGTTTTATCATGGCATAATCAGAATCATCGTCGGTGTCAAAACTGTGGAAAATAAACAAAATTTGTTTCTTACGTCTAATATTGTAAATCATAGATCGCGTTGGAAACGATATTATTTCTAGCTATTTGAAATTTGTCTACGTAATACGTAGAAATCAATTTTTAGAAATATCATGAACTATATTTCGCTTACTGCAATGAAAATACATAATACGTTTTGTTAATTTTAACGAGTACTTCGAAAAAACCAACCTTTTATCCAAACCTTTTTGTCTGCCACCCAGATCCATGAGAATCGAGCGTAATTGTCAATTTTTAACAGGTTGTAGCGATCTCGCTAGGGAATTTCAGAATTACTACAGAAAAATTGACAAGAAGTTTAACAATAATAAAATAACAATTTATTAAACTTGTTCAAAAAGTACAACACTTATACGTGCTAACGGAAGACTATTTTAATTAGGAAGAAGGACGCTTTCGCAATTCGCCCTCTTAGACCTTGTTGCTCCCTCATTGGTTGCAATCTTGGGGGAAGTTTGTCTTGCGCGTACGAACTGCGCACCACACCTTACGGTGTGTTTTCATCCACTTCTTTGATTGGTATTACATGTAGCTGCCGCTACAAGGTATAATTAACTAATTTTAACCTTTATAAATATATGAACGGACTTTCTATTAAACTCACGGACATTTTGTAATTTGGACTTAATCAGAAACTGGAGAATGGAGAATGGTGAAACTGGAGATTCACCAACTGACCTAATTTGAAATCAGAGTTCATTTTGTTACTGTTCAAAGTATACTTATAATTTGTGAATAATCATGAATTATGAAATCGAAGATTCGTAATAAATATATTGCTTAATATTACACATAACCAGATAACTACTATTTTGAAGGTCAGAAGTGAACTTCAACTTAGCAGTTTCATTCATTTAAACAAATTAATAAACATTTAACTTTATTCATCATATACATATTATGCTAGATACATGTAATGTTAAAATAAAGTTTTATTTTTATATACAATCAAAATCAATCATTTTGTCAAAACATCGGACGAATATAAATTTCCGTTATAAATTCCTTTATTTTAAAAGGAAAAATTTAATGTACATATTCTAGATTACTATACGAAATATTTACTTAAATTGATCTAATGTATAATAAAGACTAAAATAACAATTCAATAGCGTTAAAATATCAAAAAACTGTTATGAAATTATACATGTCAATTACGTATTTATTTACAATTTTTATTTGCATTTCTTAGTTAGATTTTGACGATAAATCTAACTTTACTGAATTTCAAGTATGTCTATATGCGAAAAAAAGAATGTAATAAAGTAGTCACAATAAATGTCAGTGATTTCGTAATTCCACTACATGTTGGAAGAATTAAAGGAAACTAAATTATTACGAAATTTTGGTTGCGCTCATATGAAATACATAACAATAAAGTAAAAAAAAAGCATTATAGACAAAAGTCTAAAATTCAGTAGGTTTTCATTATCCTCCGTGTTGTTACAAATAATTTATCCTTGTCAAACCAAAGTATTACATACTTAAATTATGGTTGTTTTGAAAATATTACAATTAGTCGTTTTGTATAAAATAAATATGTAATACTAATTAGCATTAGTTTTCAAACATTTCTAATGCACATTGCAATACTTCCTTCTTATTTATATTCCCCCATTTCTCCCTAGTTAAATGCTTGGAGGCGATTCCTCGACATTACTTATTTATTATGCAAGACTAGTTGCTGTGATGCTTGTTTTCATATAAATAGTTTTTCCTTACCTAAGTTATTATTTAATAGTTACCTTATGATACAAATGGAATTAAATTATAATTTGTTTTAATGCAGCTTTCAAAGAAAGACTTTTTGCATCATCTATTAAACTCAAAACAGATTGTCCTGAATAGTTCGGTATGTTTGCAATAGCGCCATATTCCAGCAGCTTTTGTGCAATTGATACACGATGATGTTCTAGAGCATGGAAGAACGGGGTTCTTCCTGAACGATTATCTTTCAAATTTATTTCTGCACCAGCTTTTATCAAAGCGTTAACTCCTTCCAAGTTGCCGTATAATACACAGTAGTGTAACGGAGCAAATCCTAAATGTAAATTAAAAAATTCGTCCGTATATCGATAGATTTAATAGAATTTTTATGATATATTTCAATGTTTCATATTTACCTGCCGAATCCACTTGATTAAGTAACTTGTTGTCTGTAACGTACTTCAATAGATCTGGTAATAAAGCAGAGGACATTTTACTAGCTAGAATTACCGCAGATTCGTGTAGAAGTTCCGATGGAATCGGTTTCGCTCCTGCTTCTAATAATACTTGTACAATACCCCTAGATGCACTGAATTTGATCGCTAACTCCAAACATGACTGAAAAGAGATTAAATTTTTTTCATCATCCAACTTCCATTACATAAAATTCAACTCGAAAGTATAGGTTTACCATGCGATTTGCCGTTAACACGTCGATGTTAATTTTCGAGGCTTTTAAGACTACCAACAATCTTTGTACTTCACGTAGATTATTATTTTGAACGGCTCTATGTATACTCAACATTCCATTATCGTCCCACTGTTGCAACATTTGAAAGTCTTCTTGTACTTGCATAGCAACTTTTTTATATAACGAATGAGGCGGTGCCAATATTTGTTTCACTTTATTGACGCGCGCGTTCATATTAAAAGACTGATTCAAAAAGTTATCTATATCGCTAATATCGTCCATGGGCGGTTCTAAAGTCAGATTTGGGAGCAGATAGTCGTTATCAATGCAATTTAAGTATGTATTATTTGATTCTATCGGCGTGGTCAAATTAACAGCGGTCGAGCGCTCCGTTTGTTTTATTCTTTCTAAAGTAGAAGTGTCTTCTTTTACTAATAAAAAACTGTCCTCTTCAAGGAGTCCGAACACGTCGGTTTGAACCAAAGAATCATGAATCGTTTTAAAGTTTTCGGGCGGAGTAATTGGAACATGCTTTGCTGCACCTATTCCACAGTCTATTAGCGCTTGTAAAGCTTTAGCTCGAAGTTCTTCGTCTTTCACGCTGATCAATGCTTCTTTAATTATATTCCAGTGCTGAGATAATTTCTCCTCTATGCACGACTCTTTTTCCTTAACATTATTCGTACTGCTAATACAGTTTTTAGAATTTGGCTCTTTATTTTCTACATTCTTGTTACTAGACGTCTTTTCAATCGCACAGGGAATTGGACTATTACTTACATTACTAAATATATTTTGAGATTTTCTGTCTATGTTTTTGCTGACTGTAGGCACCGAGGTACAATTTTTTTTCCGAGCATCATTCAGGTCTCTTTCAATGATCATATTTTTATTATTGGATGTAGTAACAACATTATTTCCTATTTTTCCTTCATCTTGATACTTATCATACACACATTTACCGATTATTTTTGGTACTTCAGAATTGATTGTTTCTTTTTGTGTATTTACATTATGATCTATATTATTGCTATTTATTGTATTATACGAATTTTCACTACTTTCATTGTCTTTTTCCACCATCTTGTTTCCTCTGATAGATAAAGAATTTAATGTACTATTATCTTTTGTCAGAGAAAGTGCACTAAGTTCATTAATGTTTATTTTGTTTTTTGATATTGTTAGCTTTTCACATTTTACCACTGGAAATTTCGATTTTGCTAACTGCCGATATTCCTTTGGGTCTAAACATGTATTGATATTTGACATATTTGTTTTAATGGATTTTTCCATTTTCTTATTTTGTAAACCATCGCTTTCTTTAAAATTATTTATAGGTTTAATCAACAGCAATGGTTGATGAGTTTGTTTCTCATCCATACTCTCTATATCTGATGACTGTTGACTGATTGTGGCAAGAAATACTTTGTTTGGAGAAATTGGTTTCTGCATCACCATTGTTGATCTATCCATATTCTTTGAAGGTACAACTAAAGAGTTTACAGGTTTATTTATTTTCTGGTTTTTATTTGAAATTAGAGCTGATTTGGTTAAGGTAATGATTTTAGAATTCAATGGTGTGTTTAATTCTTGGGTGGGGAATTTAACTTGAATTTCACCCAGATCTCTACCATCTTGTGATCTTATTCTCAATTTCTTTACGTTGTTTGTTATTAGTATACTTCTTGAATCCTTTGCATTGTTTGTTCCATTCTTTATTTTAGGTGTACTAACGCTTTTTATTGATGCTTTACTTGGAAACTGTACCGGCAGCTTAAATTCCCGTTTGCATTGTATCATCTTGACTCCATTTATGCTCCGAATTTTCTTGGCTGGAGGCGGAGACATTGACTCCATTTAAATATTATTTTTTTTTTGGTAAGCCCCAAAATTAAAACAATCACGCAACTCCACGACACAAACGGAAAAAGAATTATAGAATTATTATTAATATTATACAATTCACGATAATATACTGCGACGACTCATGCTGAGTGTAACCTGTAAACAAGTAAACATTGCAACATTAGACTCTGTTTAAGGTAGACGTGTTAAACTAGCATATTTGCATCATGTGTGTAAAAATAACAAGCGTTTTACAACCACAATTCGTCAAAGGTTGATAATATTAAATTATTCACAAACAAAACAGGAATTACCGCGCCACGTTTTACAAAGCGGGACATCCCTACGTAGGACATTCACTGCCCCCTATTTCGTACCATGAAAACATCGTTTCGATGGTCACCGCGACGCTTGGGAGAATGTGATATGTTGACCCATTTTCTATGATCATGTTAACTGATGTAAAAGTAACAAAATTCACGCGTCAATTATTGGAACGGTATTTTGGATAGAAAACAAGCAACTTGACAGAAGTAGAATCAACTATATTGAACGAATCATAAAAGAAGAAGTTATGAAATAAGAACTTATACTATAGTGCAGCGACAAGAATTTGAAAATTATCGATATCATTACTTTGATTGAATATACGCTTTCATGCGGTTTCGCGAGACAAAAGTTATTGAGTTTCTGGAATCTTATGCATAAATCACGTACATTTTATATGACAATTTACGTTGTGACATTCCGTTGATAAACATTATTTAGGTCACTGATAACGTTGGCGACACTGACGGGGAATTTATTTCTTTTATCGACGTCACCGTGCACGTTATCGAAGAAAACCCAAACTATATATTTATTAATATTCTACAATGAACCGTAAGAGAATTTGTATCAGGAATTGTGTTTTCTTATCGACTCATGATGTTGTATCAACAAGCTTTGTATTTTAGTTTTCCCTAAGTAATTAGTACAAAATATGATTTGCTGGTGTCAAATGGATTCTGACCATTGAAGTGAAAGTTACCAAGTTACGGTTATTCTTTCGATTGACAGGTGCATGCAGTGTTTCAAATATGACACAACTATGTGCCAAAAACTAGTGATTATTTATGTATACTTGCTTAAACAAGTATTCCCAGACGTTCTCAATTATATTTAAATTCGTAGACGATGTTGGCCAATATAAACAAATTATTTTTTGCTCTTTATGCACAATTGTTGTGTACTTTGACTATCTAATGCAAAATTGGGCTCTCGCAGCTTTACTGCCTCTCTTTCAATATCGCTCGTATTTACAAAAGTCGGTGTTGCGTCCCGATCTGCGGTCTAGGGGATAAGGAGGTGAGTTGGTGCCCATGGAGCACTGACACGCTTTGTTCGGCGAGGCGCGTAAAATAAAAAGTATTCACATCATTATGTTTCGTTCAATCAATAAAATGTCACTCCATTCACTATTGTAAGTGACGCATTAGTCTGAATACTAACCTGCACATTCCCAACTTATACCTGCGAATTGTCTACCATGAATATATTATGTTCATGAAAAACAACTAATCCATTGGCGATTTCGCCCTGGGCATTTGGAACGGGACCCATGCGGCAAACGCAGGCCCAACACGGCACTGAAATGAAGGTGGTGGGGCACATTTGCCGTCCCAATCTGCTAGAGTATCGCTTACACCCCTCGGTTTTCCCTCAGGTGCCTACCCGAGGTCCCTCGGGCCGGATGGGCTTTTACTACTGGTTTCTTTTGTTCAAAACCGCAAAATCTCGAACTTTGAGGCCATTTTTCGACATTATCCCATCTGATATCGAAGTTAAAAATGGTATCAGTCGATTCGCCTTGGCGAGACCTTTCCAACGGTGTATAGCATATGCTGTACGCTCTTGGGTCAGTAAACCCCTCTATGACTTAACATTGTCCTTTTCGGATGTAACTTCAACGATTTTATTTATTCAAACTTTTCGATAATTTCGATGTTCGCTCTACTGTCTCATCCCTTTTCCAGGAAAATTCTAGATCCTCCCTCAGGGTTGTTTTGGTCCAATTGGGGGTTGGGCCCCGTTCGTCAGGATCTTCTTCGATCGACGATCCACTCCCGAGCCGTGTGGAGGTGGGAACTACGTGGCCATGTTCGTAGTGGGCACATGTGATAAGGGAAAATGTGGGAGCCCAGAGAGGAAGTGAAGCTAGCTAGCAGGTCAAAGCAGTGATGCCAGAAAAGCACCGTCGGGTGCACACTCCCGCATGCTAGATACGCGTACGTGAGCTCGTGGAGTTTCGGAAAGTCGACAAAGGCAAACTGACGCATGCCCTCTTTCTCGATTCTCCGAAGCTGCCCGAAGTAATTTCGGATCGCCCCGTGGGAGTCGAGAGAGAAAGGCTCACATTTGCCTTCTCGCTCTTAACAACTGAAATCCGACCTCCCGTCAACGGCATACGATTTGGATTCTCGAGCCGAGATTCTCGACTGCCCAGGCATTTTTACTTTCCGACCTATGTAGGCGCACATAAGCAAAGTACCCATAATGAAAAAAAAATTTTGTAAAAATCATTTTACGGAAATACACGTTTTAAGACCTCCTGATCATATTTTAGTTATTGAAAAAAAAGAAACTTTTTTATTCCCATGTATGAGCACACATATGTATATTATTATTACGATTGAGTATAAATAACTAAATGAATTTAAATGAAACTTTACATTTAAGTTTTATGTTCTCATTTCAAAGTCCGGTTAGACTTTAACTATAATCAGTCCATGGATAATAATGATTATACCTCTTGTTTCATAGTTGTTCCGATATATGTATAGGCATAATGTATAAAAAATCTTTTAAATGTTTCATATAAATTTTAGGACGAATTAAATTTTATATATGTTAGACAGACGCGTAGAATGGAATTAGGAATTAAGAAATACGCAGGGTATTCGTATACATGCTTTATTCTCGTTCTTTCAGCGTCGGAAAAACAAATGAGCCCGTCCTGGGCCTAGACCCTTGCCTTTGTGGTCAGCCTTCTCCCCCATCGGTAGGGGTGGGAGTGTTGACGGACGAAGGCCAGACGCGGTCCCTTGCCAGCGCCTCGGCTTGGGCCTCGCCTTTTCCCGACGCCTTACATAATAAAAAAAATTATATAAACTTTTTCTCTATCTTCTCTAGAAAAGAAAAAATTAAATGAAATCTTATACATTACATGCTTACTTAAATCGCATTGAAAACGAATACCACAAATGTTTTAGAATAATCTGCAAAATGTGATTACGATTTTCGCTAAGACAAATTGAAAACTCGGTTCTAACAAGGAAAAGTTGGAATGATACCCGATTTTGGGTTAGGTTTTACTTTGAGATATTATTAAAGTTATTCCAGATACTTATCTTCAGAAATAGAAATACATTCAACAACCAGCGTGGCGTGAATGACAAGGTATTTGCTTGCAAGTTCCGAGCTTCTTCTGCTCTGCAGGTTCTCAAACCCTGCCAAAACAAATCCTTTTTTTTTATTTTTTCAATCATATTTTAATCGTACACTAAATGTGACATTATATTTTTGTCTGACCTTCGAATATTTTTTTTTTAAAGTTGAATTTAACCAATTACATTTAACATATGTTATTTTCAATGTACGAAGTACATGAATCTGGATGGTACTTTTCGTAAAAACAGTGAAAACAACAATTTCAAGCACCACCTACATCTAATGAAAGTTCTGTTTTCACAGAAATAACAAAATTTTGTATTTAACTCTGATGGAAAGGCCGCTTCATTTACATTGATAAAATGTGAACGATTTTCGGATAGTCGTACCTTGTAGCTCGTACTTTTTACCTTATACTTCAGGTAAAAAGGGATATAGCTGGGAAAAACAGTTTTATGACATTACCTGCTAACTTATGTTACTGTTCTACAATGAAACGCTATGTTTTGTACCTTTAAAAATATTCGACTGTCCTTTTAAAATTTAAGATACAACCCATACTTTGTATTAAACTGGCAAACGGGATTACTTTTCCTTTGTTTCTAGTTAGTTCTATTTAGTTCGTCATAACAAATTGATACGGTTATCCCAAAACAATCGAGGAAAATCATTATTAATTAATTTCTGCAATTATTAATTCTACTGTTTTGTTTATGTTATAAAAGTAAGAACTCTTCTTATTGAAAAATACCACAGCGTGCACAATACTGGTAAAGAGTGGAATCTCATTTTAATTTATTAATTTTCAATCTTAAAGTATTTTGATTTTCAAAAATCGTATTAATAATATACATATGTGTGCTCATACATGGGAATAAAAAAAAATTTCTTTTTTTTCAATAATTAAAATATGATCAGGAGGTCTTAAAACGTGTATTTCCATAAAATAAATTTTACAACATTTTTTTTTCATTATGGGTACTTTGCTTATGTGCGCCTACATAGGTCGGAAAGTAAAAATGCCTGGGCAGTCGAGAATCTCGGCTCGAGAATCCAAATCGTATGCCGTTGACGGGAGGTCGGATTTCAGTTGTTAAGAGCGAGAAGGCAAATGTGAGCCTTTCTCTCTCGACATCCCACGAAGCGGTCCGAAATTACTTCGGGCAGCTTCGGAGAATCGAGAAAGAGGGCATGCGTCAGTTTGCCTTTGTCGTCATTCCGAAACTCCACGAGCTCACGTACGCGTATCTAGCATGCGGGAGTGTGCACCCGACGGTGCTTTTCTGGCATCACTGTGCCTATGTCTATATCGTGGACGAGTTCTGAGCTTATATAGAGAAAATACTGTATCCCCGAGTATCACCGGCTGAGACTTCGCGCTCAGGAGCATTCTCATGCTCCTCCGATCACCTTACGCCGGATATAGATAACATTCTTTGCTTTGTTTATTGGCAATCACGCTCGGCTAATAGCTCGCTTCAAAGGTATATAATAAGTAATAATTAACAATGGATAATTGGCAATCGATTAACACATTAAATATAATAATTAACGTCCGAACATAAAATTACCGATGGATACAACGGTTAATTCTCGAACCAACTTGAATATAATATTTGGTGACGTTTAAGAACAGTTTCCACAATCCAGTTATTTGCTATCTGGTAACTAACTACACGTAATATAGGGACGAGGGGCCAGAGTGGGGAGACGTACGCTACGCGGACGTTACAATGGTCATTAATCGAGTTCCCATTAACATCGGCTTTGTTAAAATTAAATAGATTGTGGTACTAAAATGTTACTAAAAAATGAAACATATTTGCGATTTGGTGTCGCTAGTGTCGCGACAATGACTTTTGTGAAAGTTTTTCAAACGGACGAAAGTAACTGAACAGTGTCTGGTAAGTTTCGTTAAAAATATCCGCCACGTGTTCTCTCGAGCGTCGTTGCGCAGGAAAGGGGAACGATTGACAGAAGCAAGAGGGAGGGAGTGAGAGAAATGCGAGGGGTACTAGAATTTTAATTGTGTCTGTGATCTGTAATAGCAAGTGACACCGAGTAAAGAGTACCCAGTATCGCGAGCCACCGCGTACTGTTGCTGCGACTGTGGTGTACACGTATGGAGCAAAGAGGCAAAAGGCGCACATTTTCGTAGAGGCTCGTCGCGCAATCATGGACGATCGCCGTAACAGCCGCGAAGTGATCACCGTGTTATTTCTGTGCCTGCTGTGGTACGTGATATCATGCAGCAGCAACGTGGTCGGCAAGATGCTGCTCTCGCAGTTTCCTTACCCTATGACAGTGACCATAGTTCAATTAACCTCGATCACAGTCTATTCCGGCCCGTTCTTCAATTTGTGGGGTGTACGAAAGTACTCATCCGATATTTCATGGGGTTATTATTTGCGACTGATTGTGCCACTCGCTTTGGGCAAATTTCTGGCGAACGTCTTCAGCCACGTCAGCATCTGGAAGGTCCCCGTTTCGTATGCTCATACTGGTATAAAAAAATAGTATTTCATCATAATAATATCGTTTCATGCTTGTTTTGCGAACTTTACTTCGTTCATTGATCTTTACAAGATTGACGTTTCTTCATCCTTTCGGTTTGATACCTTTTTAAAACACACGAGGATCGTTTAGAATAACATTTGACAGTATTCTGAATAAAGATAACAGGTTATTAACAGAGATAGGCAAATTTTACTCTCGAATAACGAATAAAAAAGTTAGATTCGCTCATGAACTAATCTTTGTTTCAACATACATACGTACGTAGAAGTCAATGTACGAATCGATCGAGAATTTGCATTCGTTTGTAAATACAATTTACTGTAATAGGTAACTTGTGTGTGTTTTAAAGAGGACCTAAATAAAACGTCAATTTTGTTTGTGACAAATAAACAAACTAAGATAATACTATTTTGACAGTCACGTGCGTACGTACGCCTCTACGCGCGTGTATTTCAAAAATAAAACTCTGACCTTCGTGAGTCCTGAATGCTCTTGTTCGCCGTTGCTTTGGTCGAATGTTTTGACCCAAGTGATTTTTGGCAGGTGTATCTTCCGCTTTTGTGCATTTTATCCGATTATTGGATTTGACAACTTTGTGTCAAATCACGAATCTGGTTGTAAAAAAATATTACTTATCAAAAACTTGTTTTCTGCTATAACTAATAGATAACTTATTATCTTAGATAATATTTTTTTCTTGACTTAGTCTGTATAGATTTTGTAATCCAAATTAATCTTATCTTATTGCAAATCACATTTTTCTACACATTTGTTTTTTTAAACTATTTGTAATAGAAATATAATTCAATGAAATGTTAATATTCTGAAATAAAAATTTGATTATAGGTATGTAATAATATTTATTCAATCTGTGAAGGATGAATGTGATTTGCAGAAAGGTGAATACGATCCTCGAAAGGATTAATTTGGAGTGCAAAAGCTGCATTGTAAAGAGACATTGTTTCAAAGGAAGTTCGTAGGAGCATGTTGTTTATTTTAAATTTCAACAATCTCATATGTTAACTGAAGTTTGGCTTTGTCCCAGTGAAGGCTACAATGCCCTTCTTCACGGTGTTCCTGTCAAGAATCATAATGAAAGAGAAGCAGACCTGGAATGTGTATTTTAGTCTAGTTCCAATTGTTGTTGGTGTAGCCATTGCTACGCTGACAGAGCTTAGTTTCAATATGATCGGTCTATTGAGTGCTTTAGCATCCACCATGGCATTTTCCTTGCAAAATATTTATTCTAAAAAGGTATTGATACTTTTCTGGCAGTAATGATATTATTATCAAAGTTGCACAAAGTTTAAATTCATGGGTACCAATTTGTTAACTATGTTGTTGTTTTTAGGTGCTGCACGATACAGGGATACATCACTTGAGGCTTCTACATGTTTTGAGTCAGCTGGCACTGATTCTTTTCTTTCCCATATGGTTAATATACGATTTGAGCCGATTAATATACAATCCAGTTACCGGCGATTCGGTAGAATTAAATTACGATATAATGGGTCTGTTATTTTTGGATGGTATCTTGAATTGGTTTCAAAATATAGTCGCATTCTCCGTATTATCCATCGTCACTCCTTTAACTTACGCGGTGGCCAGCGCGAGCAAACGTATATTCGTGATCGCAGTAAGTTTGTTTGTGCTTGGTAATCCGGTGACATGGTTAAATATATTAGGAATGACGCTGGCCATTTGCGGGGTGCTGTGCTATAACAAGGCCAAATACGATCAGCGGCAAAGAATAGAGAATCCAACGGCTCTTCCGAAATATTACGATAAAAATCGTAATGGTACCACGGGATCCTTCATGGTAAATGGATGGGTCGACAAGAAACAGCAATTGTTAAATGTCTAGTCCGAATTGTTAATTTCTTTTCGTGCTGACAAATTTTTATGAGTTTTGTCTGTCGAAACAATTTGTGTTAACGTTCTTGCTTTTTTTAAAGTTAGACCTGCTGGCAAGGTGAGACACGTTGTTCAATTCGAAATGGTTTAGCGTTTACGGCTGATTGCTGGGTCAATTAGCATGAAATCCGATCAGTTGCTGATCCGATGAACATTCCTGTTACTCCGATAACAAAGGCGAAGAATAGATAAATCAGATTTCATGTCATTCAAACACGTATATTCGATATCGAGCAGCATTCGTATAGTATTGATTAGGTCTTGCGTTATAACTTTCGCAATCCTTAGCTCACTGATATGAGAGTGTGACGCGATTTGCTAAATGAAGGAATTGTAAACGAGATGGTAGGAAGTAAAAAATGGAAAGGACAGGGGAGCGTTTCGTCTGCCTTAGACGCCGGGATATTGTCGAGGAGCGTATTATATAGGAGCAGAAGGGTCAGTCGAGCGCTTGCGAGAGAGCTCACAAGAGCAAATCATTTTCGCAAGCATATAGAAATGTGTTAATAGAGGGTTGATAAAGGCACGCGTCGTTGATATCCTATAAGCGTGCACTCGTGTGTGGTGTGCGTGGATTTGTATGCAGGAGAAAATGTTCTAGCTAAAAAGCAATCTATCTTATTTTTATAAATAAAATACAGGTGTGTACAAAAATATACCAGATACGTTCATCGGACGTTTCGATACGACTCGTTTGCTGTCACTTTAACCTCCTGTCCTACAGAGTTTTTATAATATTAAGAGGAGACACTGGTCTGGCTATGGTCAGGTCTAAACGTGGACCGGCCGCAGCGATGAGTGGAACGGCCAGACAACAGTCACAGTCCTCCGTGCTGGCCTCGTTTACCCGAAGAATTCTGTCGTAAGGTCGTAGAACACCGTCGCAGGGGCCGCCGGGTCTCAAACGATTTATGTAAACTCCCCTTTCGTACAAACCGTCCGATACCGAAAACCCAAAATCTTCGTACACTGGATCCTTGTGCAGCGACACGTGGACGATCTGTTGAGGTCTGTCGGAGTTGCTGCGTTCCTGTGGACTAACGGACAAGAATAAGATTGAAACCGTGCTCAACCTGCGGCGTAGTAGGTCAAACAGCGATTTATTAAATCATTTTTAATTTCTTTACTGCATTACTGAACACTGTATCATGTTTTTTACCCAGGAAAAGGTGGCATAGGTAGATCCAGTTGACCACTGTCCACCGAGGCAGTTTCCCAGAGCCTCAAAATTTCTGGACCCGCTCCACTATTCTCTCCCAACTCTCCCCAAGAATCCACTGCGCTGTCCACGCTTGGGAGACTCTCCCTTGCTGGTCGCAGAATTCCAGTAGGATACTGTTGAGCCGTGTCGCTTCCTATGCTGGAGTCCCTGCAATAATCTCTATAAAATTCAACATTCCTTGACTACTTTCCATTCGTTTTCTTTACTTGTACCACAAACGATACTGTTGGCTTGTTAGACTAAAACTTAATTACTAATTACTTAGTCTTTAATATACGTTGGATTAACATCCGCCTTACAAAGAGTTTATTTAAAAAAATTAATCTCTTTTTAGGACAGCTAGTTCTTAGAACTTAAGTTACAGGACCGAGGGCTAGATATTTATAGTAACAAGACAAGGGTCTATGGCCATACTGAATTCTATCCCAAGTCTTGGGCACGTGGAAAGTCAGTTCGCATCAATATTCGTAAATCTAGCGTTAATTGTTACCTTATCAATTAAACGTTACCTAGTCTCTGAAACGGGGTCCGGTTTCCTGACGGTCAAAGCAACGACGGAGCTTCCAGGTCGATGCAGTAACTGCGCTGCTTGCCTCAGGTCACCCGGGTCCAGTTTCTGCCCGTCTATCGCCAGCAGTTTATCCCCAGGTGCCAAACTTCCGGTCCTGTAAGCCAACGATCCCTTACGGACTTCCGTGATGATCAGATCTTCGTTCACCGTTAGACCCACATCCGGCTGGCCACCCACTGGTCTCGCCACACGCACAGTGAACACTCCGGAGCTGGGTACGACCGGTCCACCGACCTTGTACTCCGTCATCAGTTCGATCTTTTGCGAAACGACAACGATTTTTAGCTTTCGAACTTAGGGAGACACAATACGACCAAAACTACGCCAAAAAAAGGAACCATCCACTTACCACTTGCGAGGTATCCAGTATGTTGCTGACTTCCGTCGACTGTAAGTCCCTCAGGATTCTACGATTAATCGCCAACACTTTGTCGCCGGGCAGAAGAACGCCGCTGCGCTCAGCAGGGCCGCCAGCCTCCAGCAAGCTGACAGAATAGCTCAGACGATCGTCCGCGGGCTTCAAGGCTAGACCAAAACCCTTGTGATCGGGTCTCAGAACCACGGTTAGACTCTCCTTTGTCTGAAGGGCCTGATTTGAGGTCTGCTGCGCCTGTGGCTGCGCCCTCCTCTTCACTGTTCTTTGAGAGGCACTCGGAGGCCTGGGCAGTATCTGCAACCTGGCGATTCGAGAAGCGTCGAAGTTGTTCCTAAGCAGCTTGGCTGCCGTCACGGCGTCCTGGACCGGAGTCTCGTCGACGGCTAACAGTTTGTCCCCTGGTTGCAGTGCACCGCAGCGATCCGCCGTGCTTGCTGGCCGCAGGCTCTCGATGTAGACTCCGTTTGGTGTTTCGCGAACTGTTAAACCCAGTTCTCCTGCATATATCATTGTATTGTTAAAAATCATGGCGCAGGAGGGATTCTGGTCATCTGGCTCTGTCAATGGCTAGAATCCTTTGGGGAGTTACGACCTCACGCATCCGAGTTAGCATCACCCATGCCGTGAGGTGCAAAAACTCGACTAGATACGGACACAAAAAATACTCTTAGACGTATGTACTGTTAAAAAACAAGTTTAGTTCTTGTGGTAACGTAGGATCGAACCAGAAAGGAAGGAAACTGAGCGCCAAGAAGGCATATCATTTGATCCTTTAGTTCTGGAGAAGGTACAGTAGTGTCCGCTTTAACTAAACAAGATTTGTCTAAACAAACGTCTCACTAGTGACTAGCTCGAGCTTCGATACCTGATCCTAGCAAATAAGGACAAAGAATAGATACAGTGGGAAGAATCGAAACAGACATAAAAGCGATAAAAAAAGTTATGAGGTAATAAGAGAATTTCATTTTAATTTAAATGAGTACAAACACGATCGGATTGTATGTATGGACGTCAAATTAATAAATATTATTTTTTAAAAAATCACTATCCGTCCCATTTTAAAGTAAATTAACAATCAATTGAAAATAAAGATTTTCTTGAAAACGTGAACTACTGTATTGTGATTTCATTGTCGTAATCCAAGGCTATTTGTTCTCTGACAGTTTATTACCGTTCTAACTGGCAATATTTACAGAGGCTGAATTTAGTTCGTTAGTGTACGGTTCCGGGAGCTTTATAGATCTTCGGAGCTCGGTAATTAGAGATCAAAAATAGAACCTTAACTAACCCTTTGCACTCGGTTCGTAGAAAGTTGTAAACGGCTGATAGCTAACCAGCAGAGTTCGAGCGTTTGTAAACAGTTAAAATTTCACCTAGAATCTTTATTTATCGTTGACTCATGGAACCTGCATCCCCCAACTGTAACTATTTATAAGGACATCGTGGAGGTTTTAAAGCAAACGTTTTCGTACCATCGAAAAAATAAGAGAAATATCATCGAACAAATCAAATGTCACAAAATGAGGATTAGAAGAAGGAAACAATATAAACTCGAAAGAACGAACGCTGGTAGTTCTAGTGTTCAAGAAACCGATAAGTTAAAAACAGATTACCCGAGAGTCCTCGTTCGATCTGCACCAGGAGGGGGCCAGAAGTGGCTGTTCTAGCTTCCTCCATGTTAGCGACGTCGTACTCGATGGTCAGGGAAGCAACCGGTGCATCGGAGCTCCTCCTGAGAGCTCTCTGGGCCTCCGCCAGCGTCAGGCCCCTGAGTTCGGTGTCGTCTACGGCTAATAGCCGGTCACCAGGCCTGACCCTCCCCTCTTTCGCCGCTGGTCCGTCAGATTTCACACCGGTGACGACCAACGCTCTCGAAACCCCGCCTCTGAGGGTAACTCCGAGGCTTCCGCACTCGCGTTCGACTCTGATCTGTGCAACCTTCGAGGACACGCTCGACGGGGCGGACACAGTCCCATCCTGATCGTCCAGCAACAGGAAACTGTGCGGATGATAAAGTTGCGCGGAGATCTCGTCGGTTCGGGCCGAGTCCGAACTCGCGGACGTGGCCACGCTTTCCGGCCTGGCGCGGTTCTTGTGCGAGCGCATGTTCGTTAATCTCAACGAACTGAACATCCTCGACTACCTAGGTATCCTAACTGCGACTGATACCTTCGCTGGGAACGACGATTAGCATCGCTGACCACGGGAATTTATTCTGTTCGTCTACCGGGATCGTCTACATCTTTCAGCAATAGTTCTTAAGCTCGCGACACGATTTAAAAGACGATAGCCTTGCTCGATTATAGCAACGATCTTAGAAATTTGTTAAAGCTGTAGCCGTTTTCGGGCACGACATTTAAGAATCACTGTATCGAAGGCGGTCGTACCGCTTTGCATCCTTCCAGAGCGGTGGTTCTTAAGCTCGCGACACAGTTTTAAAAACGACAAACCTTAATCTTGATCTTAGAAATTCTAAAAAATAAATACGCCGATCAAGAATCACTGTATCGTAGATTCACTCGCACCCGACACACGGAGGCACCTAATTCGGCTCGGTTAGGTGTCCATCCGACGAACCTCGTTACAGTCGATCGAAATTTATTTTCGTACGACGAATTTTTCCTCCAAAATTCGACGAATCCCCACTACGAAACTCGCGTCACGTGGACCGTGCAGAGTGTCCGTTTACTTCGCGAAACGATCGGCGTCCGAAGAACGCAGGGACGTGTTTCCGCCTCGGTCGAAGCAGCAGGTCGCCGAAGAAACCGTAGAATCGTGACAATCGGTGGATCTCGTTTTGCTCGCGGTGTAAACAGAGTCGTCGGTGTCTTTGTTCGACGACTCGTGGCGAGCAGCAGCTCTTGCCGGACGAAACTCGTTGGAACTGAACGCGGAGAACTGTAACGAGTGGTGATGCCTACTCAAAAATAACTCGCCAATATAGGGCCGCATCCACGTGCAAACGTGGACGTCTATTTATACCAGCGTCACCCTCGTGTCGCTCGGACGGCGCGTAAGCGAGTGCGGCCCTGCGGGCGCCCCGCAGTCGCTGCACCGTCAAATAAGTCTGCACTTCTCGTTAAACCTTTAGACAATTTCGTCTGTGCGCGGATGTTCTCGCGGTCGGGCGTTGTAAACGCTCGGCCAATCGTCTGAACCCGCGCCGCGCTTAATTTAACGAACTGAAGAGTTCTTAATCTCCTCTTGTATTTTTAGTTGCCGATATCGGCGTCGTCGAAGCGTCGAAACGCCGGTGGACCGAATTTACTGGTTGATCTAATCTAGCTGGGGAAAAAATTCCCCGTCCTACGAACAGGTGTCTGTTCACTGTAATTGGGAACAAAGTTATTTAAAATAAACAAACGAGCCGAGACAATATCAAGAAAGAAAAATAAACCAAATATCCAAGCTGTTATGATTTTATTGTCCGCTGTGCGAACGTTTCTTGCGAGAAGCTGAAGAGCAATGAAGTCAATGGGTGGGAGGGTGTGTATGAAAGGTCAAAAGATGAACGAGAAAAGGTGGACTTCTGCGAAGCGGAGATCTGATCGGTGGGAGTAGGGGAACGGCGGAGGAAGCGAGGAAACGAGTCAAGCGGCTAAATAGCTTGAAATTGAAACGGGGAAAGATTTAGAGAGGGGAGGGAAACCGATGGAGAAGAGGTTGCAAAAACTGAGGAGTTGAGAGGTTCGGTCAATGGACCCTGAATCCGCGTTCTCTTGCCCCACGACTTCGTTGACCGGCTATCGGATGTAGGTTTCTTGTTTGTCGGCGTTAACCCGTTAACATGTCAGCTACTACGTCGTATACATCTGATGCTAATATAGGACTGTCCAAATTGAGCGTCGCATCGTTAAATTGACGCAAAACGCATATACTATTTCTTAACAGCAAATACTAAAATGAAAGGAAAAGATATCAATCTTTATTGAAAAAATGACAACGTTTTGGAAGAGGCAACAAGTTTAGACGCAAGATATTACACATCCTTCAAGAATACAGTGACTCAAACAATTGATCAAATGTTCGAACAAACAGAAAATAAGTCACAGTACACCTTTCTCAGAATCTTGCTTAAGACTGTTGATATACATATATACGAAAAATGTAAACATTGCGTCGTTACTTCACGACAGTTTGAACCCTGTAATCGTACAAAGCGGACGTGTATTACGAATTATATTCTGTGCATTATTTGATCAATTATTTGTGTTAAGCTTAATTGTGCAAAATTCTTATATTTTTGGCATTCCTTAGCACAAATATAATTATTGGTAAGTCATAACGTTATTTTTAAACATTTGAGAATACGTTTGTAATAAAATAATTAGTAAGAAAAATATTTTTAGTCATATTTCATAATGAGACCAATAAAAGCAAGTAAAATATCAGAAATTAAAAAACTATTAATATCTGGGCTTTCTCATCGCGAGATTTCTAAGAAGGTACTGTGCTCTGTTGGTACTGTGTCATCAGTACGTAAAACTTTAAAAGAAAACGTACTAAAAAATAAAGCAGGACGAAAATCAAAGTTATCCACTACCACAAAGCGATTAATCATACGATCAATCCGTAATGGTAGCGTTGATAATGCTGTACAGATGCAAAAAAATTTAGTCACACACCATAATATTAACGTAAGCGCTGAAACAGTGCGTAATGCACTGCGAGAAGTGAATTTAAGAGGACGTGCAAAAATAAAGAAACCTCTTCTTACAAAGCGGCATAAGAAGCTTCGACTGCAGTTTGCCGAAAAATATAAAAATTATACAGATCTCGATTGGGCACGAGTAATATGGTTAGACGAGACGAAAATTAATCGTTTTGGGTGCGATGGACGGGAATGGACATGGCGAGGAAATAAAGAACAAATACGGTCGCATCACGTTCATCTAACACTGATATTTGGAGGAGGCCATATCATGGTTTGGGGTTGTATGACCAGTGAGGGCGTCGGATGCGTTGAAAAAATTGAAGGTCGAATGACTGCAACATCATACACATCCATCCTGCAGAAAAGTTTAATTGGAAGTTTGGAAAAATGGAATAAGAACGCAGAAGAAGTCATTTTTCAGCACGATAATGACCCTAAACACACGGCAAAAATCACCAAAGAATGGTTAACAGCTCATGGTTTTACTGTTTTAGACTGGCCCCCACAGTCTCCTGATCTGAACCCAATAGAACACCTATGGGGTTTACTAAAAAGAACAGTTGCCAACTTCGATCACAATTCAAGAAGTATTATTGAATTGTGGTCTGAAGTTAAAACTGCTTGTGAAAATATTAAGGCTAAACAGTGTAAAAGTTTAGTAGATAGTATGCCAAGACGCATAGAAGCCGTATTGAAAGCGAAAGGAGGGTATACGAAGTACTGATATTTCATTTTTTCAAACTCAAAAATTTGATCATTACATCATTTGTTAATGTTATTTAATTTTTTTTTAAAAAGTGTAACATATTTAAGTTAATTCTGTATTATATGAACTATGAAAACTATGTATGTAATTATAATAAAATATTTTGTTACATATCTTATTAACATGTGTTCAATTAAATAAAAATTTAAACAAAATTAAACATTTGATCAATTGTTTGAGTCACTGTATGTAAAAGAAAAAGGATGGATTTTTTGGAAGCTCTACGGTAGAATGACCTTTTAAGCGTGTCAGGGTTCATCGATCATCGGAAGATCGTATCATCAACGATGGAGGACCCTTGTCTCGGTTTCCACGTTTTTCTTAAGATGATCAGTCCTCGAGGTGCGACTCAACCGTGTCGGAACGATTCAATTAATCAATTACCCGGTCAATCATCTCGTTAGCTCCTACGGAAACTACTTCTTTATTCTACGAATAAATCCGGATTCTTATAAATGGGGTGGTTCGACTTTGCAGCAGAGTTGGACAAATTTAATTTAATTGATTTATGATGTCGCTTTGGATGTCGATTTAAAATTGTTATTCGTTGTTTGTAAATAAAATTTGCCCCACTACGAAATTTTAGATCGAATATGCCCGCCATTGGTCGACGGTTTCCTTGGAGAGCAGCCTGGAGGAAGCTTCGACGTTTCTCGACAGACCGGCACTCTCATTTGCTGGCAAACGGTGGTGGTTCGGCAATTCCTTGGCACGCTAAAGTTAGCATACAGTCAGCACGGAGCCAAGTGTGCGACCGAGATGGTGAAATGGAAGAAAGAGGGCAGAAAGACAGAGAGGGAGCGAGAGTTCGCACGATGGAAATAGAAAAAAGTAAAAAAAACAGGAAGCAAGTAGAAAGTTTAGGGTCAACGGGAGTAAAGGAAGCAAAATAAGCGATCTTCGGGGAAAACGAGCAAGGGAAAGACAGGAAGGACGAGACTGTGGGTGGAAAACACTCGAGACGGTAACTGTCCTGGTAAAAATAATGAGCCACTTCGAGTATTAATAACTCGACCGCGGTAACGTGGCCTCAAAGCGTTTAGAATAAACGCGTGTAATTACGCGTCTTTGAAATTTCCACGCACGAGCGTTTTCTCTGCGTGTCTCGAACGACTTCCGGTACCACAATCGGTTCGCTGTACGCTGCAAGACACGCCACAGTCGGGTACAGTAATCTTCGGATAAATGAAACAAAATCGAATCCTCTGCGTTTCAGTTATTCGGAAATAAAGAAACAATCGGTTTGTTGAACAAAAAAATTTGTTCGTATTGTCTGAAGATCACCGGTAAATTTCGGTTACCAATAACTGTTAAATTCCGTGATGCGTTGTTCATTGTTTTATTTAAAACATCATTGTCACCCAGCGCTAGAATTTTCGTTCCACGGCTTATCGAACGAGGGTTTAAAAAAGAAAGTATAACAGGGAACAAACAGTACTTTTCGCAGCAAAGGTTCAGTTAAAAAAGTAAGTACAGTAGAACCGCGATAGTCTTGAAAAATCGAGGCTAAAAGTTCCTGGAACATCGAGTTCTGTACAATTATCGAGGTAGTCATTCCGTGAATGAAACAGCCTAACTTGTACGATAAGTCCCCATTATGAACTCTAACGTGATTAATAACGATTGGAATAACAACTTACGTTACATGAAAAACGATTTAAATGCATTCAAATCGTCTTTAGGTTTTCTAATGTAAGTACTCTTATTATTAATTACTGTCTCGTTTATTAGAGTTTCACTCTGCAATAATTTACATAGTTCTTTTCTTTTTGCAGGTTTATTATTCCTATACAGGTTTGAGTAAATTTCATTCGCGATATATTTATTTTTAAAATAGCTTTTGCATCGCTCCTTAACTAGCTTAAACGTCTGCTTTGCGGCAATAGACTTTGATGAGGTTTTAATTCGCTACAATGTTTCATCGAGCAAGTCGCGACTCTTGTCATTTTGGGCCTCTAGTAAACGGCTGGGTAGGTGTTTTACCCGACCGTATTAATGTCCACATCGAAGAAAGCCAATGTACAAAGATGAACAACGTCGTATGACATCAGCTAACGACGATCGCAACGCATTTAAATCGCGTGATCGTCGATCTTTCACGATCAGCTTTCGCTCCAAATGTTCTCTTACTATCGACATAAGCATCTATCGAGGTTTTACTGTACACGGCGTAGCCCTGACGGTTCGACGAGCCAGCAGTGGCCCCAAAGTACCGGGAACCCCTTTCTAATATTCCATTGAAGACTAGACTAACTGCTCTATCGACGGAACGCAGCCTCTACGTTATAAAAACCTAGTAAAATATCATCGCTGTGGCCTGACTCCTCGCGAGTACAAGCGGTTCAGGAACATTGGCACAGTTTATAGTTTCTTCTTCTCTCGGCGTCGTCGCTCGCCGAGCTCTCGGTCGATCCACCGGGCCGGGAGATTCGCGATTGCACGATTAACCCTCCGCCCTTGCGATTAGAAACGTTCGGTTGGTGTCCCCGGGAACAAGAGTAATCGTTTCCCCGTTTCGTTCCAGGCGAAGGGAACAAGGCCCGGTTCAGCTTTTGAGGGGGTCGTCGGTGCTACGGTTGGGCATCGCGGGAGAGAACACGACGTTGAGCGCCGTCAACGCGGTGAAACTGTACGGTTGGACTGTTCGATGTCCCACGAAGCACGTTCAGTCTGTTGCGTTCGGATTCGTGTAGGAGAATCCACGAAAGACGCCCTGGTCCATCGAGGTGAGGATCTGGTCGGGCACCGGCGTCAGACGCGGCCTCTCCGCGGTAAACGCCGTGTCGAAGTATTTTGTGTCCAAAGTGTGCTCCAAGGCTGGCTTGAACGGCGCCTCCAGCTGCCTCCTCTCTAACCGGTCCCACGGCAACGACTGCGAAATCGAACATTTTTAAAGGTTTTAACACGTTAACAGTCTCCCTGTGAATCTAGTTAGCAATCTAATTAAAATTGTCGGATAATACCTGAAAGAAGGCGTGCAATGCGATCTCGTGACCGGGCAGTCTCTTCCCGGAGTCCTTTTCCAGAAGGCAGACAACCATGTCCGTGGCTTCTTGGCTCAGGTACCGCGGTATGAACGGTCTTTCGTTACATATACTCCAAAATAGCTCGTCCTCGTCGCAGCCGGAGAACGGCGACTGTCCCGTCAGCATTTCATACAACAGCACGCCGTACGACCACCAGTCCACGGCCTGGTTGTATTTCAGTCCCTTTATGATCTGCAATGCGGAAACGAACGTCGACTGATTTGGTCTGATCATTACGAGATTTCCATGAAGACGGAAAAAGGTGGTAAAACGGAACGAAACGTAAATTTCTGCATATTATAATAATATCAATAGTATCATAGTAATATCTCCAGTTTTTGTAAGCCTTGGACCTGTCAGGAGACACTGGAAAAACTCATGGTGCCTTAAGCAAGGGCTTATTTTACTAGTTGATCCAGTCTTGCCTACGATATAGTAAGGAAAGAAGACATGTAATCACATTACATTCTCTCTAACCGTGTCAGAAGATTCGTTTAACCCTTAAGTGGATTATTGGGGACGCTGGCCACATAGTATATTTTCGGTAAAGAATTTTTTTCTCGAAAATACGTAGGATTTCGGGGGTATATCTATTCACCAAAAATGATTGTAATTGACCCCTGCAACCGAAAATAATTTTTCCAGAATGATTTGAAATTTTTTAATTCACTTTTTTAATAACTTTTTAACGAAGCCTCAATCAAGAAATTGATATTCTTGATTTTCGTCTTATTTTGGCCTCTAGAATCTTCCGTTAAAATTTTTCCAAGCGTGACCGATGTACACCCTGTATAATCCTCCATCAGTTCATCATTTTTAACATTACGTAAAATAATTCAGTTGAGATTGAGAGTCCACTTAAGGGGCCCTCCTACTTTGTGGGATTTAAAAAATCGAATTTTTTTTGCGTTTTCTTTTCTTATTACATTGAAAGTTGAAAAACTAACGAAGTTATAGCCTGCTGAAATGTACCGCGTGCAAGTATAACAACTGGACGTGAAACTTTAAAGCTGTTTTTCTTGAAACTACATTTTTCGGCACTGCGTATGTGATAACAAAAAAACTATTCAAGGTATCAACATGAAAATTGTACAGTATCTTGAGAACTGGTCGCCCTATAGCATAAACTAGGATAATTGCGATATATGCAATACTTTTTCTTTTATTAACAAAAAAGCAACCGAATATATGAAAATATTCAGTATTTTTTCGTAAAATAGTTGCCATTTTGTCATTTTTTGTTTTTTTGAAAAGATCCTAGTTCATGCTATAACCACACTTATCTATATTAAGAATATCGTTGGTTTTTGAATTTCAGATAACTTGTTTGCATGATATCACATACGCAGTCGGACGCCGTTCGCAAAAACTGTTGTTTGTTGATCAACAGCGTAATCAATAGATATTATGTGTTGCAAAAATTCGTAAATATAGCTAAATACATATATAATAAATGTATCTACAAAACCCGGAATTAATCGTTCTTTAGTAGCCCGCAAAAAAATCACAAAGAAATATGTATTTTTCGTGCCTACAAGGTAGAATGGCCCCTTAAAGGTTAAAACATGTTGAACTATGTAATAATTGCTGAGGCAAAGAAACAAGGACACAAATCCTTACCTCGGGAGCCATGTAGTCGGGTGTGCCGCAGAATGTGTCGGCCGTCCTGTCGAGGAAGATCTGAAGCTTACACATGCCGAAATCCGCGATCCTGATATGACCCTCGAAATCCAGTAGCACGTTATCCAGCTTCAGATCTCTGTACACGATGCCTTTTTTGTGCAGGAAGTTCAGTCCAGACCAGATCTCGGCCGCGTAGAAACGAGCCCGCGTTTCCGAGAAACGGCCGGACTTCTGAATGTGGAACATCAAGTCGCCCCCGTTCAGATACTCCATCACAAAAAACAGGTGAGAGTCGGTTTGGAAGGTGCAGAATAGGTGGCAAAGGTACGGATGCCTCGTAGCCAGGGTCAGGACCTTCCTCTCGATCAGGGTACACTCCACGTCGTCGTCTTCGAGCACCACGTCCTTTTTCAGACACTTCACCGCATAGACGCATTCCGTGCCTCGTAATTCGGCCAGCAACACCTTGCCGAAACTGCCTTTGCCTAGGACCTGGACAAGTTTCATTGGAAATTAAATTTCTCCATTTTTTGAGGAACTCTGAACGTTTCCCGTTCGAGATCAGTGACTTAATATACTTGGTCGAACGAGACTAGGATGCTTTATTTAGGGAAGTCAGATCTGGAAAAGGGCAGGAAGTGGGGTCTGAAGGTCTAGAACTTAAGGTAGACTTAACAATCTAAACTTGGACGAGAAGAATTAACTTTCTTCATATTTCAGTCTTGTGGGAGACTGTTTAAAACTGTCATGATCCTTGAAAATCGAGTCCAAATGGGCTCGTTGCCAGAAGAAAGCCGAAAACTTGAAACACTGAAACCTGGTTTCTGACGTGGACGAGAAAAATGAAGTATCTTCGTGTTGTAAACTTCTGTAACTTGGTACTGATCCTTGAAAGTCTAGTCTAGATGAAATTATTACCAAGGTGACATAAACTTATGCTTAGCTAAAACGTTTGGCTTCTTTCATATTTTAGATTTTTGTACAAGTATTCGAAATCGGTCTTGGCCCTTGACCGGGCAAGCTAATCTAGACTCGTTTCGTACAAAAATAAATTAACGAAAATTCTTTTCAGTCGTCTGGATTTTAATGGATCGCTGTTCGGTTTGGGCGACGATACTTGGAAGCGACCAGTTGCCCGATGTTCTTTATAACCGAGGGAAAATGGAGGTCTGGAAGGGTACGCGGTAGAAAGTTCAAGCGTCTAAAGCGAGAATGCCGCACGTGAGAGTACCTCCGGCTGTTAAAAATAATGCGTTGCGTGGTGCTAATTCGGGTGGTCTATTTGAGTGGTGGCCTGCTACAAAATCGAGTCTGTTTTAAACTATCTCGCGAATAAACTCGCTAGTTGGCAAAAAGCATCGTACAGCTGCATCTTCCCCGATTTCAAACTTTCCACGGCGTCCGCCTAGACGACCGCCTCCGACATCCTTCTTTTTCTCGTCGAGCCAAACGCTCGGTTTGTTCCGTACTCGTTTCTCGCCAGTCGTTCGATTCGAGTTTATAAAACGTACGAATAACCAATGTAACATCTCTATTTTCGCCATATTAATTTTTGTTAATTTTAAATTGTGTCTCCTGACTAAATTTCGTAAAAAAAATTCGATTATTTTAGCCGGCCATCAAACGAATACTGACCCACCGGGCTACGCTACGGTTCGATTGTAAACTTGAAAATTGAACGTCTGCGCGAAATGGTCGTCCCGGATGATTTCGCGAGAACTCCTCGTGAATCAGCCGAGTTCACGTGATGTAAATACACGTGATCCGTATTAGCTTTCGTCGAGGCCCGAGGACCGAGCCAACGCGTTCCGCGCGGCGGCTCATAAATTTTCGGATACTATATTTACAGGTAGTTAAACGAGCCGCTCGCGAATAGAGCGAAGGCTTACGAGAGGAGCCGAGCTTTTCGTCGACACTCACGACTACTCCACTTCTTTGCTCTCCCGACGATCAAACGCGAAGAAAATCCAAACAAACTGTCCGCTAATCGATAAAAAATAAACCAGCTGTGGCGTGGTCAAGCTAAATCAAAATATTTTATAACTTGAGTAAAACAAAATGAGATTACTATTTATCAAACTTCGTACGCCACTCGGCGAGATTAGGGTCAAGGGGCTAGCCCGATTCAAAGAGCACAAATTTAAATTTTCTCTTTGCATATTAATATATAAAAAAACAATGTCGAATAGTTAACTATTTTTCTGGAGGTCGGGTACGTAGAACGAAAATAAAAGTCCAGTCGTTAGGTGTTTGTTCTCCGGACGTATTGGTTCCACGAACCTGTTTCCGGATACTTCTACGTATCTTGGAAACTGTTGATGATAAATTTTCATGGGGCAAACATTGTTTTCTCCTCTCATATAGTGTAAATATACTGCAGAGCGAAAGCTATTCGAGTTCTCGGATTATTTCGCGGCGTTTGGTCAGAGAAATTTCGAACGAGGAAGCTTTGACAGGAATTTAACGCGTTACGCGTGTCCGGGTAAACATCTTAACGAGCCGCTCTCGTTATAAAGACCAACGTTGTTCCGTCGTCGACTCACTTTGAGAAAATTGAAGTCCGTGACTGCGTACTTCTTGAATCTTGGCAGGTTCGTAGCTGGCGGCGTGATACGACCGCTGGGGAAGTGGTCCGACGAGTCTGAATTCCTCTGGGTGTCCGACGATTGCGACGGCGCTGCGAATTTCAGATGAAATCGACCGTTAATCGACCGACCGGTTCAGCCAGATCATTTGCATGCATCCCGTTTTGTTGTTCGATCAAACGTACACCAATCAAACCTTTCAATGCGTTTGGAATTTCGATAAATCACCGGTGGTCAAGCATTAATCTTCGCAATAGTATGCAGGATGGGAGTTCAAATCAAAGATTATCAGGTGAAAAGATATAGAAGATTAATAATGTAGTTGTAGTGTCTGTTTAATTTTGAGTCTTCATCGATATGAAACCTTTGAAGATTCTAGAGATATTATAATAAATGGTAATCTTTAGATACTCGGAGCCACAATATTAAATTTGTCATTAAGGAGAAATCTTGATCATTAATACAAATTTTCCATGCGTTTTGCAAGTATCAATCTTGGACTTTTAGTGGATGAAGTATGTCATATAACATGTAGGAGATTTTCTGTTCGTTAGTTGAGTACAAAGAAGCCATTCATGGGAAAGACAGGACTGAAGGAATTATTCTCACCTACAATCCGATCCTAATATCGAGATTGCTTCGTTCAAACAGGAATGGATCGTTAATAAAGATTTTCTGTTTTTTTTGTTGGTATCCTTATCACAAGTACTGTATTCGGATTAATATGTATTCGCATGATTAGGCCATCAAACAAACATTAGTTTTTAAACAGCACCAACTTTGAATTAGTGATAAAAGAAGATCAGGTAATGATTAATATAGATTTTTCGTCCGTCGTGTATGTAGCAATATTTTGGACCCTCTTTTAGGATCTTCTCGAGCTAGAATATGTTAGGATACTCTGTCTCTCGTCAAATCTCGATTAATAAGCGCATTAATTGTCGATTCGCGTCTGGCGGGCGAAAAGCAGCAACGAGCGCGCGATTTTGGCCGGCTGACATTTTTCGAAAATAGAGCTGACCGTCCGATGACGTACGCAGGACTCGAGGAGCCCGACATAATTGATAGATTAGGGGACAGGTAGGATCGTTGCAGCGCGCGAGAAACCGACGGTACCGATTTAACGTTGATGCAATTTCATTTTCGGTGGGATCGGGATATCAAACATCGGTCGCGAAAATTATTTATTGGCCCGCGAATGGGTTTATGATTGCCACGTGGAACGCTGACGGAGTCATAGATGAATGCACTCCACGGGCCAGCCAAGTCTCATTGCATAGCCAAACCGATCAGGTTCAAAACAAACGCACTATACTGTGCTTTCCAACTTTCCAATTCCAACAATTCTTTTACCGATTATTGTCGTTATTCATAAAGCTAAATATCGTAGGAAATGTATTTGTGCAAATTCGACGATCATCCTCAGAAATACTAAAATCAAATTTAATTTATATTATTTAACAACGATAATATATAACATTTTTGTTTGTCATACGTTAATATAAAGTTTGAGAAAAACAGAAGTATCGTCTATTTGTAAAATTAAAAGGAACAAATAATTTTCACCAAACGTAATGAAAATTTATTGCTAAAAATCGGGTGTTGCAACGCCGTTTTATTTACGTAGCCTAACAAAGAGCGTAGAGAAGCTGGGAATTTCGCGTCGTAAATTCAAAATGAAAAGCTGCCGCGACGCGTAGAGTAAAATTCCCCGAATACTCGTACGTTCGCGAGAAATGGCAAGATAATCTTCTGCGTTATTCGCGAGAATTTTAGATCCACGATTCGAAACTCATCCGTTTATAATTAGATCCTCGACTTGAACATTGATTCATTTCTCCAACGTCCAACGACGACGGACTTTGAACATCGACTCACCCCTTTTTAGAGCCTGCAACGCTTCCGCCACGAGCTTTTGGTTCAACCCGCAAAGGTTCCCAGTGAGCTTTTCGCACTTCTTGTGGCAGGCCATGTCGCAATCTGTTTAAAAGTTCGCCAAAGATGATCGATAAATTTTTCTTCTGCTTCGGTTCGTTGCGTTTGATCCACCTTGAACCGGCAACCATTACCCCTCACAGCTTTTTAAATAACGACGCTATTTGATAGATCCTCGATTATCCGGTGTAAACAACGTTTTCGGTCGTTTGTTGCGACCTTAAACGTTTGTGTACCAAAGGAAATAATAAGACACGAGAAAATTATCAAACAAACACATTTTTTAGTATTTTCATCTTGAGTTTTTACGTCTGATACGTTTATCGTTATTTAACTCGTACAATAAGAAAAAAAGAATATATCGCGAGGCAGAACAAAAATGAAATAATACCAGAAAGCTTGAAAAAAATATTTATATGAATAACTTTGTAACATCGTACGTCTGCGTGGCAAAGGAAACAATAAAATACAAGAATATGATGAAACAAACATATTTTTTAGTATTTCCGTCTTACTTTTTCTTTCATACGTGGCAGTTTTATGCTCGCTACCAAGGATAATCGAGGCTCTGGCGTACTATGGTTCTCGCGGGCGCCCTTTTGTTCGACTCGGTTCCGCTGAAACCAGTGATCTGCCGTCGGAACGGTCCGTCTTCGCGTTTATTTTTCTACTGACACCAGCTAAATTTATCTCAAAACTCTTGTTTGCACCATCAACCATCCGCGACTGCATTATGAAGCCTTGAATATTGTTATGAAACCGCGTCACGTTTTATAAATAGGAGCACGTCGTTCGTAACCACGTGGATCGGTATCTAAGTACGATACGCGAACAAACAATTCACCATTTCTAGTTTGATCGTGTTTCGATCAACGTTTCAGAGGAAATTGTTTAAGGACTGGTTCCTCGAGACACGAGCATGCAGAAGGACGAAAAAGTTGTAAGTGGTTGCACCTTTTGGTGTAAACAAGATGATGGATAGTGTCGTTGACACTGTGGCAACGACCTTATCTAACATCCAATCACTGGTTCCGCGTCTGCGAGTGAAACACGGCAGGATCTAGGATCCTGATGTTTAAATACAAAATCGCCATCCAATTTTAACCGATCAGGCACCCACGATAGACTTCGATCGGTTCGATCCCCTGGTACCAATCTGTTCCTTGTCATAAAATATTAGATGATTAGAATCGTTCGTTTCTCGGAGCAAGGCCGCCTCTAATTTATTCTTATTTTTTCAGGGAACCTGTCCACGGTATGATTACTTTGACGGTCCTTGAGACGTCTACTTCGCGAGAAGACTCGAAACGCGAATGTCCTGACGCCGGGATTACGATTTCGTTGGCCGGCATCCAACGAGAATTTTTTGTTTTCGTTTGTCGAAACGTCGGGGTAGATCGACCAGCGATCAATCTCGTTTAGTCGTCTACGAATATTTTTAACGCGTGATGCTACACGAGTCGGCTATATTCGCGAATTGCAGCGCAGTTTCGGCGCGAAGACAAATATACGAAACTTGGGCGCGTGCTAGGCCAATAAAAATGTCGGACATGCACAGCCAGGCGGGAAACAACGACGTGCGTCCATGCAGGTACAACCAAAGAATACAAGGCTCGAAGGAAATTAGCAGTCGGTTTTTAGTTCACGAAAGTGCAACGAAAATTCAAACTGTCAGGCTCGATGGATAAAACGCGCTTCGAACGCTAGGAACGAAGGTCCATTTTTCCAAAAATGTCGGTTGCAAAACCTTTCGAGAAAGACATTGAAACCGACGCGTTCTCTTCTCTGGAGGTACCGACGTCGTCCGCGCACAGAGAAGGCAAAGTAAAATGGTCAGGGAGTAAACAAAATGTCGGAGGCAAGATAAAACGCGCAAATCAGCCGCGGAGGTTACGCAAGCATTCCAAAAATACTGTCGTGACAAAGTACTCGATATCCTCGGCGAGCCGTCGAAACCGGAGTCGTTGCTCCTGGTGGAGTTCATCCTCTTGTCAGGGTCGTCGTCCAGCTCTGTGCAGGTGGAACGACTACCGTCTGTGCTCTCCGTGGTGGCGGTGCTGGTGGTGCTTCCGGTACTGTCGCTGCTCACCGATGGCGTCCTCGAGTGATGCTTCCGCCTCTTGATTTTGGCTCGGCGAACCTTGGACAGGTCTCTGGGAGTCGCGGTTAGCAGCGCCGTGGGCGTCGTATAGAACATCCTTATGAGATCTATCGGTCTCTGCGTGGGCGTGCTCTTGGGGCTTGTTTTCGACAAGGTCTTCGGCTCCGGAGGCTTCAGGCTATCCTGAGCAGACTTGATCGAGCTCTTCTTCGACTCCTTCGACTCCTTTCCAGCCTCCTTTCCGCTGGAACCCTTCTTGGTCGTCGAGGATTTTTTCTTCCTGACCACTTTTTTCTTCTTCGATGACTCGGGGCTGCCTTCAGGCGTGCAGGTCGCGGTAACGTCCTTGGAGGGGACAGGAGTGACGTCCTTGTCTGGTTCCTCGACGTTGGACAGGTCGTTCTGATTACTCCACTTGGACAGCTTGGACAGGGCAGCTTCTGACCATTCGTTCGTCGGTGTTTTGGGGTCCTCCTCGTCCTCCAGTGCCTGGGTGTCCGTTCTGACGGGCGTCGTCGCCATCACGATGTTTATGATCGGCACGGAGACGTCGAACACGGGCGTCGAGGCTTCGGAGACGAACACAGCGGTGTCGGGAGTACTGGGCACCGAATTCTCGTGTTTCAAGGGAGCTTTCTTGATCGTTGAGTACGCGTCGTTTTGTGCCTCGCCGATGGCTATCGACAAGTTCTTCTTCCTTTTCGGCCCTTTCTTCGGCGCCGTCGCGTCCGTCTCGGTCTCGAGCGTCACCTTGGACGCCGACGACTCCTCCTCGGCCCTCCGCTCCTCCTCGGGGATGTTACCGAGCCCGAGCGCAGCGACGCTTATTTTAGCATCGGTCTGTTTTTTCTTCTCCGCTTCTTTTCCACCGGGGTCCTCGACCGGCCGTCCAGTCTCGTTGAATCCTTTCGCCGTCTTCGTCATGTTCGGGCTCTCCGGACCCCTGATCTCACTCCAGAAGTCTATGGACTCTGTCGACGTGCTCTTAGACAATGTACCGCTTTCCCCGTTGAGGCTCTCGAACGACTTCGTCGACTTGCCCAGGGGCATTCTGCTCGTCGACGTCTCGTCCGCGGAGACGGATTGCTTGAAAGTCTTCTGAACCGACGCTTTATTCTCCCGAGAATCCACGCTGACGCTTCTGTCAAGATGGACGCCACTCTCAGCGACCGCGTTCAACTTGGACGCTTTGTTTCTCCAGGGTACCTTCGTTTCGAGCTTCTCGTCCGCTTTGTTGGTTTCGGTCTTCCTGACCTTGAGCTTTCTCTCGACGTTCCCGGCGGTGGTCGTTGCTTCCGTGTCGTTTGTCTTCCGCGCGTCGCTCTTGGAAACTTTCGACAAGGTCGTCTGCGTCGCGAGCTTCGTCGGCGACGTCACACTACCAAAAACGTTGCTCTCCGGTCGGCGTTCACCTTTCGCGGGTTCCTCGGACGGGTATCCATCCCTCGACGAGGAAGCGTTCACCAAGGTCACAGCTTTGTTCGCCTTCTTTCCCGGCAACGGACCACCGACGTCCTCGTCACGCTCGATTTTCGTCGTGTTTGCCAGGTACTCTGTGTCGCGTAGCGATCGCTTTGGCGCTTCTACGGCATTATTTTCATCCGTATTAATTTTAGACGGTTTTGGCAGCCCGTCCGCTACCGATGGAAGCGCTACGCTGGCGCTGGTCTCGCGAGCGAGCGGGTCAACAGCTACCGTCGCGCTCGACGCTTCGGTCTTCCGCGCCAGAGGCTCCTCGCGGCCCCAAACGCCGAGCTTTTTGGCTGTCGAGGGCTCTGGCCTCCTTTGCGTCTCTTCTTTCTTCGGCGACTCCTCGTCGATCGGTTCATTCTTGCCTCGAGCGGCCGGAACTTTCGGATATTTCGAAACGATCTTGCCAGCCTTCGCCGAGTCCGGAGCTTCTTCGTTGATCGCTTCCTTTTTGCGAGGCTCCGCGCGACCCCAAACTCCGAGCTTCTTGGGCACCGTGAGCTCCAGGCTCCTCTGAGCCTTTTCTTTCTTCGGCGAGTCTGGAACCTTCTCGGCGATCGATTCCTTCTTATCAGACTTAGGGGTTTCAGCAGCTTGAGTTTTCGAATACTTCGAAACAGTCTTATTCGTGTTCGTAATTTCGGAAACTTTTTCCTTGGTGTCTTCCTTCTTGGATTTCTCCGACGCCTTCTGCGTGTCGTCTTCGGGCTTCTCTGATATTACGTCCACGTCTTCCATCTTTCGAGGGATGACTCCGTTCGCGACGGTCTGCAGCTTCTTCATCGGATCGGTCTTGGCAGTCTCCGGGGGCGTCCTGACCGTAAAATGCACGCTATTCCTCGAGGTGTCCTTGACGTAGGGCCTCTTGACAGGCAGAACGACCTCCATCTCAGACTCCTCTTCGACGCTGTCCCTTTCGATCTTGCGGAAACCGAGCTTCCTAGGCACGGAGATCTTGACGCTCTCACGAAACTGCTCGATGCTTTGCAGATTCGTCCCGCTGTCGATCCAAACGGTGGAGAAGTCTCCGACGCTGTTGCTCGCCTCTATCTTGTACATCTGTGGCTTCGAGTGTCTCCTGTCCGTCTTCTCATCCCTCTGCAGGTCGACGGACACGTCGCTGGAGGAGGTGCTGGACCTGCACTCCCTCTCGTTCTCGTCGTCGTCGAGCGGCGACGGTTTCTCGGTGGGTCTCTTCTTTTTCTTCACCTTCTTCAGACTCTTCCTCATCTTGTGAGCGGTGGCCTCCTCTTCCCCTTGGGAAACAGACTCCCCATCGGTTCTAAAAAACCCAGCGGCGCTCCTGGGACCTCCTATGGCTCCCTTCTTGATCAGCGTCCCTCGACGGACCTCGTTCTCGATCTCCGCCTGTTCCTCGGCCACTAGAGTGTCCAGCACTTTCGCCTGCACCTGAGCGTACGCCACCTCCCTCTCCAGCTGCTCCGGGGCCAGTTGGATGTCCGCGGACGATCTTCGTCGCGTGAACCGTCTGATGATCTTCTTCTGCGCCTGTTGCAGTTCCTCCTGCTCATCGTCCTCCTTCTCCAAGTTCGCCTGGTGGAGAAGACGCGTTTCCGCCTCATCGAACTTCTTGTCCTTGATCAGAAACTTCTCCACCAGCAGCTCGCCCACGGATTTCTCGTGTCGCTCGTTGTGCTCGCGCAGAGCCGGATTGTCCTTCAGAGCCTGAGACCTGATCTTGATGGTCGGTCGATCACGACGCAGACGGTTCCTCTGGTGGTTCCCGTCGCCCGACAGGATCCTCGGCGTCGAGACGTCGATGTCCGCGGTGTCGATTACGCGTCTAGGTCGCGCCGGGACCGACACCGGCGAGTAGCGTCGCAACGTGCTCAACGGCGACTCGGAGATCGTCGACAGGTGCGGGGAAAACCGCGACAGCGTCGTGTGAAATACTCTACGCGAACGATCCAAAGTTCATTACTACAGCTACCAAACGAAACATTGTACACGTTTGCAATATTTATGCCCTAAACCTAACACTTTAACAGTTATAGCGCTCAGAGTTTTTAATGAATCGTGCTAATTTTTAGGAGTAGAACGATCGGACGACTCAGACTCCGAAATCTCAAGTTAATGAATATCATGGTGATTCTACGTGAAACGGATGTAAGGTCCTGTGGAAAGGAAAGCTCGAGCATTTGCGAGAGGAACGGTCCCTCTAGTGGCGAGTACGAGAGTACATTTTGAAGATCCTGGTCAGATTCTCAAGTACCAAATTTATTTTTAAACTTCAAAAAAGGGATGTCAAAGTATTAATCTCGATCTTTCAGGCGTCCTATTCTGTTACTCGACAAACTAGTTCCCATAAATATGTCCTCTGAAACAGTATGTAAGCGACAGGACTTAACAACAAAATAGCGAAGAAACGTTCGACGAGATTAAATGGAGTACAACTGTAGAGGTGGTCTGTGGCGTTTTCGAACTGAAAGGTGGTTGCAAACGCGTTAATCAGTTATGCAACCCCGATCGATGACACGCGATGACTTGTACCTGCCGTCGTGTCGTATCAATACCAGACGGTTGTTTTCGCGGTTCATTAGGTTGCAGAATGGAAGAAACACTTGTTACACGCGTCGCTGAACTCAATGACTCTCGATTTAGCTCGGCCATGGTCACGAATGATTGACAGGCTTCGATTCATGAATCGACGGTATATCTGCGATGAGAAACAAGTGGCGAACGGGTACACGTGTTGCTCGTGGCCGACATCAACGGTGGATCGAAGATTACAAAGATATAGTATTGACCTTCTCTAACCAATCTCATCTGATAACTAAACTCGTAGGAAAGAGGAGAAACGACCAGAAAGTGTGTCTCGAGGTCCTCGTAAATTCAAGAATATTCCACTCGAAACAAAATTCTGATTTTACTAGCAAACGCATCCGAGATACCATTATTACGAAAGAAAAAACCAGCTAGCCAACGGGCGAATCTAATATTTCTGTTCGCGAACGAAATTTGCCCAACTCCGGTTGCAGCGTAATTCGCGGCGTCTCGTCGAATAATTTTTGGCAATGCGGCCGACGTAGGAACGGGGGAGCACTATCGCGTGGAAATTGCAGCGCGTCCAGAGCCCGCGTTACTATTTTTACGGAGATATATTCTCGACGGTTCCGTCGTCCCTTGTAATCTCTTTGATTTATCTAGCGGTTTACCGAAGAATTAATCGACGGTCGTTACATTTTACTAATGAGTTAGCCGCTTTGACGGATCGTATGTCATATCCGCGACTTGCCAACATCCCAAATAACGTACGTGGTTCTTCCGTAAGTCCGACGTCCGTGTTCTAATTGCGGGAAATCCTGGTTGCTAATTTCTTCCCACCCCTCCCCCGAAATTGCGTAGTATTCTCGCGCGATGGCATTTCTTCTCCAACGATGGACGGGAACTTGGTAATCGGTGTTTCTATTTTCGTTTCGCGGGTTCGTCGCGAAGATAAGACCGAGGAGCTTTCGCTTTACCCGAAACAATGGAAAAGAAAGAGGATAAAGAAACATCGTGCTTTTGGAACGTTGTTTCGGCGCGTGCAGCGTGGACAAAGGGACGGAAATAGAGGCTCTGATGGACGAAGATAAAATTGAACCGTGGACGTCCATCGGGGAACGCTTGAATGGATTTAAAGATACCGTTGGCCAGATAGAATCAGGGGTGTAGGCAAAAGTCTCCACCGTGATCGTTCTATCGAATCCGCGGAAGGAACATTGGTATATAATATGGTTGAGATCCCGTTCTGGATAATCCGACGTCTATGATGCAATTGGGTTAATGGAAGATCGAACGATCGAGAATCCAGTACTAGACAGTATTTTGAAGCAAGAATAGAATCTACGTTGAAACATTAAAGACAGGATTCCATAAATAACAAGATAATAAATTATCTGGCAAAGAGAAAATTCCAAATTTTGGATTGAATATCCAACCGGGCATTCTGATTCGTTGCGAGAGACAAACCAGAACAATTTCACAGACTCTTAAGTATAAATAAAAGGGGTGTTCTGAACCAGGTAACATGTGTATATTTCACGGTAAAAGAAAACAGATTCTTTTACTAACGGTACAGTAAAAATATTACTGTATACAGATAAAGAAGAAAATTATATAAGAAAAGAAATATGATCCATATCGCTATACAAGAAAAAATACGAAAGAATATCGAAGATTCGAAGAGGAAATATCAAAATAGATTACTGATAGATTGTTAATGATTAGTAGAACCTAATCTAAGGCTAATCTAGAGTCCATCGAGGCTGGGTTAAAAAGATACTTTCCCTTTGAAAACAGTAACGTATTCCAGTATCCTTGAACAAACAATTCAGGAGAATTTCTTTTTCCAAGTAAACCTATTCCGATGGTGAAGTAAAAAACGCATTTCTGGAGGGATTCAAAAATATCAAAGAATCGCTAATGGATATTTAATCATTATCGAACCTTGACTGTTATAGAATCTAAGGTTTTCATCAGAATATTGTCGAAGAACGGTCGATTAAAAACAGATAACAAAACTCCGTTGTCCAGGCTAGATTAGAAAGGACATGTTTCTTTTAAAAATGGTATCGTAGTCGGTATCTTTGAGCAGTTTAGAAGGAGTATTTTTTTCCAGAAAAATCTGATGAAACAAGAAACGCGGTAACTGTTTCTGGGGAAGGAAAGCGAGAAAGTTGTCGAAAAGAGAGGCTTACCTAGGAGTGCTTGTCATCAAGGAACTGTGGTTCGCGTAGGGTCCCCCATAGTAATAGGGCAGACCCTCCCCGTAGTACGGCATCGTGTCTATCCAGTGAATTCACGTGTACCAAGAATCGAAACGCGAGCAGCGGACACCAAGGGGACACTGTTACCAATGGCACAGTCGATTCGCCGTTCTCGGAGACGACTGAACGCGTCGCGGATCGCCGGCGAACGCGTTCTCAGGTGTTCGCGGAGACGTTCTCGCGGTTCAGGGAGCCAACACCGACTGAGTCTAAGCCAGCGACCCAGTGTAATAATAGCAGACTAGTGTACGAGGCTTCCTAGCGTCTAACTATACTAGCTGGACTCTAATAACCCGTACAGTCTTTACGGAACGAATATTTGTAGGGTTGTAGGATCTACGTGACTCAGAGTTTCGGTACCCATCTTGGTCGAAAATATCCAACGTAACCGACAGATTCGAGAGAAATGCGGAGCTTTCGAACCGACGACTTTCGATGCAACTGCTGTGACACCGTTTTACGTGAACACCTGTAGCAAACCGTTCGAATTGGGACAGCGCCTCGTTGTATTTAGAAAAAGTCGGGCCTGTCCGACTACCACGACCACCATCGCGATAGTTGCTCTAGTTGGATGGCAAAATCGTTCGAATTAGAATTACACTGGTGGACAAAATACGCCCCATTCAACCAACGCTAACACAATAGATCGAAGAAGAGTGTTTTTTTTAGTCGGTAACAGAATGTTTCGAAATTCGTATAGGACAGTGCTGTTAATCCGTCGCAAAACTCATTTTGTCGAGCCTGTATTCTCTTATAAATCCTCTGATAGATCTTGTCGATACAAATCAGAAAAATACAAGTAAAAGCACGCCGCATGATAAACGATTAAATGAGCATGCACGATTAAATTTAGGAAAATTTAGGGGGAGCACGCCAAACACCAACCAGTGTCGATGCAATTGCGTTTATATCGAAATCATTCGCAAAAACAAATCTGAGACAGTGCATCGTTGTGTTCAAGACGCTCAGGAAAATGGATACCAGACCCCGATTACGTAAATCTGCGTGCAAAAGAACGCGCGGGATGCAATTTGTTTCTAATTACGCGAAGTGGGATGGTCATTAGAGGTATTTTGAAAGATCGTTGGCAAACCGTTTTCGTGTACTATAGCGCGATTAACGTTACCGCTTTATTATCACGATAGTTCTTCAAGCCCATCGGCGCAGAAGCCTCGCGGGAAATTCTTCCACCGTTTTTACATGCTAAAAGTTTGGAGAAACATCGATCAACATGCGACCATGCAACGAGCATGCATTGGAAAAAGCTTGAACGCATCATGCAAGTCTGAATGCCAAGCAGTTTCGTGTCGTTGTCTGGTAGAATCGTGTAAAACGCAAATTTATGTACAACAACGCGTCGACGCGGGCTGACGAATCGTTTCGCGACGCGCCCACCGTTTCTCGCGTTATTTCGCGTTGCAACGAATGTTGCGATTCACGCCAAGCGGTTCTTTCCCTGGTGCCTATTGTTGCTCGTTCAAGGAATGTTGGAAATAGCCAGCGAATAAATGGTCGACTCTATTTCAAGACGGATTGACGATTTACGTACAAAATATACACGATAATGCACGAAATGGATAGCTGACTTTAGCCGAGTCTGACACGTAGGAGGACTCTTGACAAGCCAATACCCATCAAGGCTTTTCAGAAACGGTACCGGAGGAAATCTTCGAACAAAAGTATCTCCGACCTGGACGATGAACTTGCAATATACTTCTTTTTTTGACGTTCGGTTTAAAATTTACTAGAGATCTTATTCGAATTCGACGAAATGTACCCCACAATCCTCATTAATTTGCATATTCGTAGGTCTACATGGTCGTTGCTCTTGATTATCTTTGATTTTTATGAAATTTTGAAAATATTGGACACTTGGTTCTCTTATTGGTTGATATTCATACTCAAGTTTTCATACTATTCTTAAAGTTTCGGATGGAATGCTTATGTAATTAAACGTCTCGAAAATTAACAGAGTTACTAATGCAAACTTCACTATACTTAGGTAGGGCCATTACAGAATAATTACAAGTTCATGAAGTTTTATGAACTTTTCTATGGAATCATAAACAATTGACAGTTGTGATTTTTAAATATTTAAATCTACAGGGGAAGGGGGGCGTTCGTCGACTTCGAATAAGGTCCTTCCATCTGAAATCTACAAAGTCCATTTATCGTTCAAGGTGCATCAAGGTGTTCGGAACATTCGTTAGCGTAAATATCGAATGGTTTACTTACCTTCGCATCTCAAACCTTGTCGGAACAGGCCATACAGCAATGAGCCGCAGTGATCGCAAAATGTGGGCGACATGAAACTGTGAGGCCGAAACCTGTGAGGCACATCTACCTTGAAACGCTCCCTCAAGTACTGCCATTGAACAAGTATCAACAGAATTAGAATCAGAGATGGTTATGCACTACATTTTACTAGACCAATCGCTTTTAATAGTAATTTCGATCGTTAAAAACTGTACTCGATTGATGCGTGTAAACGTACACGACCGTTTGCAATAGAAATGCCATTTTTCATAAGTATTAGGACACTTGGCCGAAACGTATTCTAAGTAATTAAAGTATTGCGTTTGATGATGCCGGAATTATTGAATAGAAACAAAATGATGTTTCATCGTGACAACGTCGGGGCCATATATGATAAAAAATGTTGAAAAACAACAATTGCAACACATTACCTCGTTCGACTATCGCTTACATTGTCGAGTGCAATGCTTTTTAATGGATAAACGATTTTAAAAAGTCAATGTACCAGGGAACAGCGTTTAACAACATTTTAATGTAATTATAATGACTTTTTTTAAAAATTGGATGGAAGTTACCAAGAACGGATTTGTATTTTCCACAAAATTCTTAAATACAAAATTGGGCACGAGCTTACGGAAGGACCTAATACTTATGAGTAGCATTGCACGAGCAAATTCTGACGAAACGAAAGGAAGTACGACTTCCTTGCAGAACTTGGTAGACTTTCGCGAGACGCTTCGAACAAAGCGTGGGAATGTTCGTCCATCTTTAGTAGGTGGATGGAACTGTCATCGGTAGACTCACGAGGATCAGTCAGACACTTACGACCGTGTTCTCGGATTCCCTGCCGCTCTCCGGGCACTTGGTTAACAATTTATCGTGGCATTTCTTGTGCACTGCCGTTTGGCAGGCTGAAACGCGAGATGGAATATTAATAGAGGCGTACAAATGTGAACCACGCAGTGTACTTACAATGTAACGTAGAAAAACCCCGTCGGAGGTTTGATATTTACCTTGGCACTGATATCCCTGCTTCCCGAAGCCCCTGCGACAGACAGAGAGCACACTTTAGATTAATCAACAGACACGTTTGCTGGGGAATGGCCGATACTTGAATAATGTATGTCTATTTTTAGGCGTACGCGCGTATCAAACCGACGGAACGTCGGTCTTTTATGATAAATCGAGGTGCTTTCTCGTTACCAGCCAACTGCGCGTTAGAATGTAAATTATTGATAAACGTGTGTTTATACGGGGGATCGCTTCCTGCATTGTAGGCGCAACGCTAAACTACTCCAGTTGTCACGGAATGCTACAGATAACCGAATTTGACCATTCATCACAATTGGAACCTGGTAGACCAAGTTCCCTATAGGACCGGACCGTTCGTTACAACCGTACCAATGTATTTCTGTGTCGACTCTATTTACACTTTATCGGGTATAAATTGCTTCGGACTATCCCTGCGATCAGTTCGATCGACGAGCTCGTGCACGAGACTCGTACCACTTATTTATGAATTCTCTATTTCCACATTAAAAGGATTAACATGATCCCAAGAAGGTAACAAGAAGAAGAAAAACTAAAATAAAAGATACTATAAGGACAATTACTCAACGTTGGTCACTCAAAGACTGAAGAAACGGATAAAATATGACGGCGAAGGTTGTGGATATTAACATTGTTTATTCAGTCCATATACAAGGGATAGTGTTAAAAAGGCAATGTGTATGTCTTGGTATAATTAAGGTGTTAATACGCAAAACACTGATCAATTAGTGTCGCAAAGTTTTTTTTACTGCTAAATGTTACCAGAGAAAGTCCTTGCAGAAGGCGCAGAAGGTCGGTTGTCTGAAGAACTTCGCGACCAGCCTGTGGCCCCGTACAACGTGCACTTTGTTGTGCTTTACCGCGCCTCTTCTCTTAGTAATTGGACCGCCAACGTTATTTTCGTAGAACGACGCCGCGGCGATATCCCTTCGAGGCACTCTCGTCTTGTAAACGTAAGCCTTTCCCGTGGATGTCGTCGGAGGCAGGTCTGCTGGATTCAATACGGGAATTCGTGTCCTAAAATAATTACGAATAAATCGGAACTCCGGAATGTCACATCGATATCCAAGTAATTTTGTCAAAATTTTCGAACCGGGAAAAGATCAATAAGGACACGTGAAACGTGGAATCGCGATGTCCTTTGTCACGATGGATTTCCTTGATGGAGCAACGTTTACGTACCGAGCGGCTCACCTGTATGTATATCCTTCAGCACCCACGCGAGCCTGCGGGCTTCTGCGATCCACGGAGGACTTCCGGCCAGCTGCGGGGCCGCCGCCCGCGTTCCGTCTTTTCGCGTGGGAGCCGCCGGTGAACATCATCTTCCACGGGATTCGCTTCCTCGTCGATTCGTACAGATCCTCTATCCGCCGAAACTTTTTACGACCTCGTCCAGCGAACGCTTGTTCATCGTCGTACGCGTTTCGATCGGCTACGAGCTGCAAATATACTCGCGTACAGCGCGTCGAATGATCGCGAACGATTGTGGGTGCTACCTTTTCAGTTTTCTAATGCGCAACGCTCGAATTCCTGAGGAGATTGACGCGTAATGCAAGAAGAATTTACGCCCGACGGTCAACAGCATACTCGTATCAACGCCTCGACGCATCTTTTTCGACCGATCGGGAACCTTGTTCGCTTCAGTTTCGCAACAAGCGTGGCGACGACGCGTCACATGGTGGTCCGTAAACGCCGATCCCGGTATTCACGAGCGACGATTATTATTAATGCTGTGGTACCCGAAGCATCGTAGACGCAAAAACATTGCCAGCCATCGAGAACAACGGATACAACGCACGCCGTTAGGTTCGATCAGTTGGCAAGCAGCCTTTCTAAGATTCGAACAGAGGGCTGCGCTTGTCCCTCTTGTCCTTGATGACGATCTAAAAAAAGGTAGACTATCAAAAACGGTACGCTTCCGGTTAGAGGCACTGGTCGGTCTCTTCGGCGATCGTTTCCCCTACCTCTTCCTCCTCGTTTCTTCTCTCTCGCGGTTTTTGACAAATTCGAAGTGTGACTAATCCGCGACGGAGAAAACGTTGCGTCGGAGATCTCTCGCCACTCTCGCCTCGATCGAATGGAACAGTCTCTTCTTTTTTCTTCTTGGACCTTATCCACCGTCGATCGAAGGGACGTCCCACGACCAAAACTAGCGCCAGCAACGTTTAAACGTCAGCTACACGGCTCAACTTCTTCCGCGGAGCCTATTCGATACGATACGCACGATCCGGTGCCTCCTTTCATTTTGTTCGGACCCTCGGACGCTCTGATGTCACTGGATCCCGTCACTTGGTCGAACGAGAATCCATGGATCATCGGGTGGATGTTGACGAACACGGGAACCGAATTTTGACGCCTAAAACGTTGTAGGTTTGCACGAAACTCTCGAATCTATAAATATCAGCCTGTTGAATGTCGCCCGCCATCGGTCCTCCTAGCGCCGCGCACGGCAAATATTCTAGGTCTCGTTCTTGAACGCGTCTTCCAGTCTGGAAGAACAGTCTGAACGCGCGGCCAAGGATCCCGATCGTTTTAAGAAACATTCCTTCGGCCCTTCCAGTCTTGGAATCATTGACGATTTGATCGCATCGCAACAAATCACGAATTTTCACTAAAAAAAATTTTCAAAACGCTGAGTCGAAGGATGTTGGATAGTTTACAAGGCAATCAACTGAATATTAGAAATGAAAGAAATATTGTGTATTTTCAACAATGATATCTTTACTGAACGTTTACATTATGTACGTCTACATTGTTTCGCTTCTAGCTAACACCTTTTACGTAGTTGGAGTCATGCCATACGTTCGATCGAACTATAGGTATGTAAAGAAAAACCTGATACGAAATGAAAAAGGGGTATTATTTAGAACCAGCATAGCTATGCACATTGTTAAGAGATCGGCGGAAAACGTTCGTGCATCCAATCGAGTCCAAGGGGTGAAATGAAAACACAGACTACTGCATAAATTTTTATGCAAACATTTGTATTTTTCTGTAATTAATGATGTGTATAGTGAATTTTTCTTCCTGTATGTAACAAGTACAGAGAAACGTAGTTATTACTTGTGATCTTATCGTGGATAGCATTAAGTAACAATATTCTTCTTCGTTACTGCATGTCACCTAACACGATTGTGACTTGCCCCCCCCCCCCCTCCTGGTTGTTCGTTTAATCGATCGGGAGAGACTTCGTACGATAAATATTGCTAAGCAAAATGAGAGAGAGGAACCGCCTCGAACACAAACTCTCAACTTCACCAACGCACGAGAATACGACAAGAAAACAGACCGAGTCTTCCTGGCACTATTTACAATCTAAAGTACAAGTACGAATAGTTACAAAGCTCGATCGTTCAATGACGCTTATCTTTTGTGCTCTCGAGAATCGTAAATAACGTGTCACGATAGATTTGCGACACGTGCAAAATCAATGATCGTTTCCTCGTTAGTGGAGTGCGTGCATCGAGCCTTTGCTTACGCTCGTAGCAGAACTTCGTGTTAAATAATGAAAACTGACAGTAACGTTATTGAAAAAGTATTGTTATTCGTTGAAGGAATAAAAATCTAAAACGACGAGCATCTCGATGATAAAAATTGAAGTAAACTTTGCGAAGACCTATACCATTCGTATTGTTTTTTTTCCATTTTGTGATTTTTTTTCTCGTTTACAATACTTCCATGAGCCGTCTGCATCAACTATATTATACTATTATCAAAAAATGGCTACCTAGTGTTTCCGTGACTCGCGCATACATAACACATTCTTCAAAAACGTTGGCTCGAATTCCGTGTAAAAAGAAAAGTATCAATTAGGAATGATTACAAAAAGACTTCGTAACTGAAAAATCAGGATAATCCAATATCTGCGTGAGCAGGGACAGCTACGATTTCGTTTGTTGTCTGCCTGCAAACATCAGTGCCACGGGATCCAGATCTAAGTCTTCCAAGGGAAGGCACAAATCATAGCCATTCTATTGCGCACGTGTACTAGATAGGGTCCGATACTTCAAAAGTTCTTCGACTCTTCTCACATATTAGCGACTTCTGGGTAACAAAGGGCAAACGTCTCGCAACAATGATTTATCGATTGTCAGTGATCGGTCGCTAGTTTTTTCGGTTGACGTTCTTGCGCCCGTTTGATTCGCTGTTGCAACAGCTTGTGCAACTGTTCGATTTCCTTGGGCGCCGCCTGGATGATGAAAATTCTTATGTCCCCGTGCACATCCATCGCTGTCAATCTTAACGATTTGGGGGCGGCTCGTTCCGCGGTCATGCCAGGCCAAACTTTTGTGTTTAAGATTAATCTTTGGGTGCCGGCCGTGCGACCTACTAAACGTGACTCTTCGTCGCGATCGTTCAGTCGCAACGTACCCCTTCCTCTTTCTTGCCAGCCGCCACTGACTTTATCAAACGCAAACAGTTTGCAGTTGATTTGGAGGACATTTGTTTCCCCTTCCTCGCCCGTCAACGGTGTCACTTGACTGTATTTCCTTTTGTTCGCACGGTTTGCCTCTTCTAGTTCTTGCGCCGCTTGCGTTAACGTCAGACCAGGTCGGGCCGTACTGCGACACACTGCAGGGGCATTTGAAAAGAGAAGCTCGGAGGCACCGTTCTCGTTGGCACTCTCCTCCTTTCCTTCTTCACCTTCGGCATTGTTCTCGGGACATTCAGCGTCGTTTCCAACCATCACTCGCTCCTTCAAATTTTGGCCAAAGACGAAGCTCGGTTCCGAGGCACAGGGCGTCACCGAATTATTTACACTATTACTTTCATTATCCTTTGTACTCACGCCCAATGGCAGAAACGTAGGCTTTGCTTCTTCCGCCGGTTTCTCTTCGCTTTTGCTTTCTTCTGCTTTGCTCTTATCATTCTGGTTTGTAGATTCATCCTCCTCTTCTACAAGATTGGCCACAGCTCTCGAGAAAGGATTTTGAAACTTTGCTGGCTGTAGGACTATTTTATTGACAGGCTGACTGTTCTTTGCACCTCCCAATTGAGACGGCCTCAATATCAGTGGCTTTGTTTTGTTGGTTAAGGAATTGGAAAAGTCATTGCTACCAAATGAATTTCCAAACTTTAAAGTAGCTAATACAGGATCTAAACACAAAATATGTAGAGTTATTGTTTAAATAGTCATGAGAATTAGTTTCAATTATAAAAGAATCTTAACTTACAACGTGTTTTACTGGTAAGTTTGTTAGAACTTGACGAAGACTCCTGGGAGTCATTCTCTGTTGATGAACTTTTCATTTTTTCTGAAACAATTAAATAATCGTTACGGTATCGAACAGATTGTCATTTGCGAGTGCATATTTAACGCGATCACACTGCTGCTTCGAGTTTCCACGTTATAACCTATATCCTATCGCAATGTGTACGCTATCTAAATCGACGTACAACGTTTAATTTATATTTTGCCATTGCAGGAAACGTGAATGGAATACGTATATCGGACACGGGTAAAAAACACTGTACAAGAAGCAGCAGAAGTTACGCATTTAGAACAAAAAGCAACACAGTATATTTACCGCTCGCAGAATTTTTAGATAGATCTTCCGACGAATCTTGCGGAGGATCTACTTTTAATTTATACGACGGTCTGTTCGTCTCCTCTTTGCTCTCTAGATAAAATACGAAACAAACAATTAGAACGATTGTCAAACAATGTTACTTCGTCGATCTGTCGAACACTCGCGCGAGTAAATGTATCGTGAAAATTGTTTAAATTTTTACAAAAACACGACAACAATTGCTCTGCCGAGTTCTCCTTGTTATTAATTTACACAAATGCGTACAGTTTGTTAACAATTTACTCGCACGAGAAAAGAATCACAAAACGCACCCTTGCAGTCCGCCATTTTTTACGTAGAAGTGATTACGCGGTTGGTGTCGCCATCTAACCGTATCGTATCGAAATAAAAAGAAAAATGGCGATATTATACGTTCTATGTCAGAGATTCTCAATTTTGTCCCCGTTAAATCGATCAATTTATTTGGTTGGGGGGAGGCAGGAGGTTACAATAAATTACTATAGGGATTGTGGTAATAGACAGAATTAAGCAAACTTCAATTTTATTATATGTATGGTTTGATGTTGTCGAGATATCGTTGTATCGTATACTTTAATAAATTCCTATAGCGTTCGACAAACGTGTCAAATTGAGTTTAGGCTATTTTACTTAAGAATTTCCTATAGAACTTGCCTGATCAACGATATGCATGCCATTTTTACAATAAAACTCATTGCTTCATTTATTTCTTCGGTATTGTCGAAAGATTTTCCATCGAAGAAATGTTTCAATATACGAAATAAGTAAAAATCTCCAATGGTTGGAGTAAAACGTTCCACCCTAGCAATACTTCTTGTTCTGTCGCTAATTCAGGGAAAACTTCTTTTCTAAATACGAATCATTCTTTTCGTACGGTTGCTGCTAATTTATTCGTCGATGTGAACGGACTTATTACACAACATAATGATTTGTAAAGTTTAGATAGTAAGTAGGTACCTAATCGTGTATCTAATTTAGCAAGCCTTTATGGCGTTATCTAGTAAAGTTTATATGTATTTGTGAAACAATAAACGTTCAGTTTCCATACAAATTTAATATACTTATTCCTTTTTTATTTGAAAAACAAGACGAATACAAATAAAAAATGCAAAAACGACTATTTCCTTGTGTTTCTTTAACACGAACACGAATTTTCCATTTTGTACTTACAATACAAACGTATCGACTACTGTTTCGATCGATAATCAACTGTACGAACCCTTCGTTAATGTTATCAACATGCACTATGATAACACGTGATGATCATAGATATTCTAGCACTTAACGGTTCTGTGGTTTAAAATGAATTGGTGCTCATCGTCATGTCACAGCAAGGCAAAAGGGTGGGAGGAACTTAAACGGCGCTGCATTTTTGGTCGACGTTCTGTACTGTAGTCTCGTGACAAATACCTCGCAATTAACGTGGAATTCAACGTTAAGCTTCTATACTGATAAAACACAATGTCTTTAGACGAAGTAAATATATTTTTTTGTTAACAGTATTTCTTCATTTCACGATTTTCATATTCTGTGGTTATGCTCAATACAGTTTTCAATTTCTTAAATTTAATATTCACGCATAACATACTAGACTGGATTGAAACGAAGTTTAATTTTAAAAACACAAGAAAGAGAAGAACATAGTTTTAAAATTCTTTTAAAATTTGCATATCACATCACTTACTAAAGTAATATACTGTGCATCATTTCTTAAGATAGTTTTTGTTTTGTTAGAGATTCAACAAAGCTACAGAGGAAGTTAAGGGGCTAAGTTCCCAACCTTCGGACAATGATATGCTTGATCTGTACTCTTTATACAAGCAAGCAACTGTGGGGGACTGTAATACACGTATGTAACATTAATTTTGGTTTTTGTTTTAAATTGGATTATATCAATAATACTGCAAACTATTAAGTTTATAAATATTAACATAGTTGCGTAGAACAGAAAATTTTTGAAGCAAAATTTGTTGCTTGAAATACTATCAAGTAAGGTGCAAGGTATAAGATACATTAAATGCATTCAATTTTTTCCCAACTTTTGATGATTGCATAATCTTTGAAATGAAAAATAATGTCGTTCTTCAAAACCTTAATCTGTAATTCTAATTGCATGATAAATGCTAACATCCATGCAAAAATTGAATTTAAATGTTGAATAAATAATGAAGTACATCTTGTAGTGAGGTAATATTTTTGTGTGTTCTTGAGACTATTATTTTTAGTATTTTCTAATTCTAATGCATTAGTTTTAATGATCATGTAATTGTTCTAGAGAGACCAGGCATGTTTGATTTTAAAGGCAAAGCCAAATGGGATGCTTGGGATCGTAGAAAGGGTACAAGTCAAGATGATGCAAAGGAACAATATATTAAAAAAGTAGAACTAATTGCCGAACTAATTGCCGAAGAAATAATAGCCAAGATTGGCAAGCAATAATTTCTATTGGCACAAGATTTCTAACACAAATATTTTATGCACATTAATTATTTGTATTGGAATTTTATCAGATTCTAGAAATTTCTTACTCTTGCCAATATATAAAATATCGAAAAATAAGAACTGTTATACACACCAGACTGCAATAGTTGCAAAATATTTAAATACTTTTTAAAGAATTGTATTTTTAAGTATTTTTTATCAGTTGATAACGTATGATAAGGTATCGCATATATGGCCCTGTTTCTTACAAAATTTGAGTAGCTTTTATATCGAAATAAATGTATATAAAATCAATTGATACGCGGAGGAATTGACGATTCGAGTACATTAATCTGCGATTTTCTATTACGGTAATTGAATTTATTTTTTCTATTATTGTTAGGCTCGCTAGATACAACTTCATTCCTGTTTACTCAAGAGCCACAGATGCACTAATTCACTCACCGACACACTATGTAACTGTTGTATACACAATCTTTAGAACATAGATTAGGATTTCTTTTACCATCATCACAGCACATAATACTAAAATGATTAAAAAAAAGAAACGACCATTTTCATTTCAGGACATTTTTTTATATCATTTGTTTAGCTTTTTTTTTTATATTCGCTACATATTAGGCGAATCCATAAAGTGAATTTGCAATTCATTTAAGCCTGTTTCAACGAAAAAGAATAAATAAAAGTTCTTTACATATAACGATACAACGAATATTCATATCCCGAGATTGGTCCCACGACCCGGATTTCCATCTTGAAAGAGAAAAATGGCGAACAATGGTTTGGAATCGACAGAAAGTAAGTAAATACTAGTGTGTATTAATAATGTATTTTTCCACGTAAGTTTAACATTTCTTTCTTATCATTATATACACATACGCAAGAAACTAACTAAAAGAAACAATAGGATTACGACACTTAAATGTTTGGGAGGAAACGTATCCGCGATAGTAACAGAAAATCCTAGTTCTGTATCCCTTTTTCACGGTTCGTCTCTAAAAAGGAACACATTATGCCATTCATCCAACGTGAACGTTACACTGCTATCAGGAACGACGAGTCCACGGTAGATGTTAGTGTTATTGAAATATATGCATATATGTAATCGTAGTACAATTTTATGTTTAAGAGCACTGGTTATGGCTGCAAAGTTAAACGTGCCTTAAAAGAACGTATATGTCCGCGTAAAATGCGTTCACGTGCGTGTGTCCCTTTCTGCGAGTTAAACTCAATTCCAAGCGTTCTCGAGTTCTCGCGACTTACAAATATTACGTAACTTACGAGATATCAAATTAATTAATTCTCTAAAAAACTAGGATAAGCGAAACTTACCGTATAAATGTAACGTGTCAAATATTTCAAACGGAAACGAGAAAGTGCTGTTTATAAAACGCGAAGGAATCCGGCATACGCAATCTCTCTTCTTCCGTAGACACTATGATCGAAGAAAATGAGAGCTCTTTCGAATATTGTGATCAACTTCTTAGCGAATTTTTATTAATCGTTTCAAGCCGAACAAATAGTCAGTCGAAAGCTAAGCTACTAATACACGTTCTTTTTTCTTTACAAAAAATTGCTTTATTTACCCCTGAGGGGATGATGGGGGGTTACGACACCGAACACGTTTCTTTACTTTGACGACAGTAAAAACGACGTTAATTAGGAATTAAGACGGAAATTTACATCAGCTCCGTAATGGAATACACATATGTATGCGTGTATGTAGGTATGTATGTGTCTGATAGATAAATGAGAGACTAATATAAAAAAAAAAAAAAAAAAAAAGTAAACGAAAGACGGGAAGAACGGAAAAGAATGAGAGAAGGCTGCATCTGTGAGGCCTCTATATTCTCTTACTCTTGTCTGTGTGCTTCTTACTGAGAAACGCCTTTACGCTGCTTACTGAGAAACGCCTTTACGCTGTTAAGGCCACCATCTGGTCTCCAGTTCTCGTCAGCCATCGCGATATCGCTGGCATTGTCGGTCAGCTGGCGACTCGTCGATGCCTCGTCAAACCTGGTAAAACAGAGAAGGTGACGGGAACAAAAGCTCGATAGCATTTGTCGCGGCTTGATCGAAATAGTTAATTCGCGATTAAAGATCTTTCTTTTACTTTCTATTTTCTATTTTCTTTTATAACGGGCGATCGGTCGAACTAAGAGATCCAATAACTGTCGTCGAAGTTTCGCACGATTAAATCGGTGCCTTGATATCGTTTAGCTGTTCAGCGTTAACGTATGTACGTATGTGTATATAGTTTTCTTTTCGTTTAGATCCTGTCATGTACAATGCGTGGAGAAGTGCGTCGACCAGCGGCACTGTCTAACAACAACCAAAGCATCGCGACAAAATTCCAACGAGAAGTGAAGACAGTTCGATGGGAGAGATGAGATCTGATATGGACAAAAATAGCCGCAGTGGACTCGTTAAACGAACAATTATGCTTTCTCTCTCTCTTTCTCTCACTCTCACTCTTTCTCTCTGTCAGGTAGATAGTAGCAGGAACAATATCTCTTGTAAACTACAGAGATATTACTCGCAAATGTGAACGACTACAGGAATTTCTCAATTGCCGAGCGGAGATCGAGCGAACGTTTCTTGTAGAGATCTGATTTAACTGTACGTTATTGATTGTGGGACGCCGTTCACCGTCTGCGATTTCAGCACGTCATTCTCGTAGGACATTATCGTTTCCTTCCCGTTTTCGTAAACCCTGAAACGAATCAATTTAACAACATAAAATGTGCAGGACTCAACGTGGCACGGGAGCCATGTGTCTCGTTTCCTTACTTTTTGGTGGTAATTTTTTTGCCGTTGATAAATCTGAACGAAGTGCTTGTTCGTTTTACAGTACCGCCACCCCCGCCGCCGCTGCCCCCGCCGCCGCTGCCCCCGCCGCTAGTTCCGTCGAAACTCGTGAAGGTGTTGAATGAGGCAAAATTACCTGATGCACCTTCGAAAAGGTTGTTGAACGGTGAAAAATTGACCCCGAGTGGAACAAAGAAGGACGTGCTTATGCTGTTAATGCCTGGATGGCTATGCCTGTGAAACCCTTCATTGAGGTCTTTGGGAAAATTAATAACACAATTAATCACAGTTCTCGTTGATCAAACTCGAGGATATTTTTCTTATTATTCGATTAATCGCCGATATGTTTCTATCATTCGACAGACAAGGTCTTTTACAGTCAATCGCACGCTCTACGGTTGCTTGTTACACACCAAGGTACATACATACACGCACACACTAACGTATACATTTACATTTTTACAAATTATCAACTTGCACTAGTTTTTACTTACCAGTCATCTTGTACAAGTCGGCAAAAGAAGTACCACCGAAGAATTCTCTAAATACTTCCTCAGGGTCTTTGAAGGTGAAGATACCACAAAAGCGTTTAACAAAGTCATCATCGTGTCGCCTCTTGTTACTAGGCATCTGAAGACCCTCCTTTCCATATTGGTCGTAGACTCGCCTTTTCTTTTCTGAAAAGCGTACAAGAAACAATCATCGTTATCACCGATCGTACAATAGGCTGTGAATGCGTTTCGCTTGATTTTATTCGCTCCAAATTCCAAGAAGCAGGTACTGCAAGGCTTGCCATGTTAGTAGAGTACTGCTGGATGACTTCTAACATCAGTCGAAGTTACGTTCACCGTAACAGCAATAAAGAGAGAACAACTCTGGACTCTTGGATAACCAGGTTACTTGTGCGAATCCTTGAAGGACCAGGCTATACCTAACTCTGAGATATAATCAAAGGTCTATGAATCAAATAAGAAACGTAGAACACGTAGAAAACGTAACTGGACAAGAATCTCTTTTATAGCCAGTTCGAATCAACAAGATCTGATAGTGTCAGAAAGCTCTTGGTGTATACTACTTGGCCATTCAAGGACTTACCCTTCTAAGGTCACTGAAAAGTAGAATTATTGGTAGAATTACTGGAAGCAGATTAGGTAGTTCTCTCGTTCAGTAAGTCAAGCAATGGTTAGAAGTGCGGAAAGGTACAGGCAATAGTAACTGCGTTTACGGCGACTCATACACCGTGAAAGAGAAAAAAGTGTCTTTCGAGTATTCCACGGGGGATTGGTATAATTGACGACCGAGGAACTGTTTTGCGGCAGAAACTCTTGAATCCTACGTTCGAGCAGCTAACGACGCTTCAAAGGCAATCGTAAACAGCACAACCGAGTAAACCGAGCGAAAAGAAAGTGCACGATCGAGTATCCAACAAAATATTCACCATTTCGATGGATATTTTATCAGTGTGTGATTATGTGCTCAGAAACAAAACAAAACTGAAGGTAAAAATGACTTAAAAAAAAAAGAAAAAAAAAGGAAATCCAAGATCGAACAAAACAATATCTTGCCACTCTCTCTTAAAGTCTTTTTTCTCTTAAGTGGTACCGAAAAATCGCTGGAAAGCAGAGTCAAAGTAACTCCGGCTGGTGAATCCACGGCCGGGCCTCGAAGACGCCTTCTGATACAATCGTTGGTCGTAGGTTCGTCTCTTCGCATCTGGGCATCGAGCACGGTCACGAGAGATTGTCCGGAAAAAACAAAGATTTCTGGTTGAATTTCTTTCGCTTCCAGGCTGTTGACGATCTTTTTTTTTCTTGGCGACACGGCTTGATTGGTTGTTATTTACAGCGACGCCTCGGCTACACAGTTGTGTTGTTGATTCTAGGACTGGGACTATTCGAATATTTTTCAGGTATTCCAAATATTACCAATCAACTTCGATTATTAAAATATGAAAATGTAGTTTTTTTACAAGACTTTTCACTAAAGACCCACAAGAATAATTTCTTAAGGTAAAATGTTAAGAAAAATAAATGTGGATAGGACTCGTGAATTTCGACGAGGCTGCAAAAATAAATACTACGACAACTGTTACATCAAGCAGTTTCCAATCGAAATTAAACGAGAAAACTAAGTTAACATAAATTATTTGAATACAGGAAAATTTGCGAAGTACCTAGTCCCAACCTTAATTGATTCTCGAGTTTGAATATTGCAATAGACTTTGAATGGCAGCACTGAGACAGTAATCGACTGAAAATGAAATTAATCCCATCAAACGTAACAACTTGAAACAGAATGTAAGGTAATAGTGTTTCTGGATATTCCTAAAATTTGTACGGGTAACTTTAGAACAAGTAAGAGCCGCTAGTAGGACGACTATGGCAGAAACTCAAGAATCAATGCCCTGGAGCTGCGAGTAACGGTAACAGCAGCGAGTAGTACTATATTAGTACTATTAATAATAGTTAAGTTTCAGTAGTAGCTAGTGTTTTGATCCAGAACAATTATTAAATAGTTTTATGGTAGCTAGAACCACAGAACAGTAACAATTGAAACATTATAAAATGTCCAGAACATAATTTTTCTCAGTCACAGGCGGTTGTCTGTCTTAAAGGGGTCATAACTTTCTAACAACTATCATTGGGGAACTGCGACAACTTTTCCTCGACGTTTAAAAACAAAAACTATTTTAGAATTTATAAGACTCTTATTCCTGGAATAGCTGTTTCCAATGATTAAAGAATTACTGATTCCCGCAGCTCCTCCGACTTGATTACGTTCAATGGTCTACTGACGAAATAGCCGTTCATAAAAAAAAAAAAAAAACGGTTGATTTGTTCTAGATCTGGTCGAGCCGCTTGATCGAGTCACGTTACTGGGTCCCAGAATAAGTCGTACTACTTGGAGACCACTTGAAAGAAAATGCTCATGCGAAATTCGGCTTTGCTGACATGCAGGAGCCCCTGTCGTTCATCTCCTGTTGGCATCGTAACGCTTTGCACGCTGTACGGTTTCGTTACTGAAGCTAGGTGCCGTTCATCGATTTGGATGATTTTATTAATCAAAGCCACGGAAAATTGATTCCCAGACAAACAGCAAGAACTGACATAACACAGTAACATCGTATAATTGCTGGAACGTTTTTTCAATTCTTTTTTTCGAATTTGCCAGTTGCATTTGAGAATTAACATTATGTACAATGCCTGTAGAGTTCGTAGATGGAAAATGGAAGATCGTAAGCGGAGCTTACCATCGATCAGTACTTCGTACGCCTCGGATATTTCTTTGAATTTCTTGTTCGCTTCTTCCAGGTTGTCGGGGTTTTTGTCTGGATGCCATTTCAGCGCTAATTGTCTGTATCTGTAAACAGCAACAATACCACCGTTCACTCAAGGATTAAGAGCGAGGAATATATTACACACAACAGTCTAAAGCACTTTTATCGCGGCACTTTTATTTTTCTATTCTGTTTTAACTGCGAGCTGGGACGGTACAAGCGTCCTGGACCAATGCCAGCTGTTTCAACGAAGAGTAAAAAGCTATTCATTCAATCTTTCTTTGGTTATCAGAGTCACAGCTTGGAAAATAAAACGATCTCGCGGCAATAACAAATAATCAGACCCACTTCGAGTACAGTGGAACGTCGATTATTCAAACAAATTCGTTTCGATATCAAGTTTATGGATAACGCTAGACAACAAATCGTAAACAATAATTTATGTTCTTTTTTCGATGAATGAATAACGATGGTTAATTCGTAGTTTTTCATTTGTAGATTACATTTGAAAAAGTGATCCCCAAATGAAGGCCATGATGGTTTGATTAGTTAAAATGCAGCTGCATCAATAAAATACAACATAAATTGCTAGCAAATAATATTTATACGTTTTGTAACATTAAGTATGAAATGGAATTGATGGGTTCCGTGAATCTAGCGTTAAGAACCTGGTTTAAAAGTTGAAAATACTGAATTTTTGTTGTTTTAGATAGAGAAATGGATACTCACGCTTTTTTTATTTCTCCGCTGGCGGCGGTCCGTTGCACTTCGAGTATCTTGTAATAGTCGTCCATCGTTTGCTGTTGTGCTCGTGCTCGGATGTCAGGGCTTAGGCAACCACCTGTCGAACAATGCGAGAACAGTTATCATAATTAGCAGGCCAATTGGCAAACACGCCGCGACAACGGGAGTCAATAGGCCGGGAACACAGGAAAAATACAGCTATCCCAGTTTCGTTTAGCTGGCACGACGGCTAACACTGTTCTCGGCGCGAACGTACGCGATTGACCGATCGATCAGGTCACTTTTACGCCTTTGAACACAAAAACTTTCGTTTATCCCGAGTCTTTAACCCTTTGCAGTTGCCGTGCGAGTCTATGAGTCATCGTCGACGTCATACTATGGTTCACCTTCGTTCTACGTAGCTGAAATCCTGAGCAGAACGCGTTTCCGAGTTTCGCAACAAATGGAAATGTTTCGTTTAAAACTAAAAACAGAGTTTTCGTTTTCTTATCCAATATTCAAAAGTATTGGCTACGGAAATTAATTGAGATCCTTAAAATTAACAGATGGCCGAACACGGTCACTTCTGACCCACGTTTTCAAGCTCGATAGACGTCAAACAATGAACTGTAGCAGATTCTCGTCTTAATATTACAAGTATTACTAAACTAGAGAGCCTCTGAGACTGAGTTTCCAACTCAACGCCGATAATATAAACAACCTATGAATCGTCCGTTGACGAAGACAGAATATGGGTCATAATTGACTCATCTTTGTCGGCGGACTGTTAAATCATTTATAACTCTTTGCGGACGGACATTTTGGGGCACGAATATTAAAATGCAAAAAACTAGCTTGTATCTAAACATTACTTTATCCGATATATAAATTTTACTTTAATTACAGACTACGTCTGTAAATAACTAAATAAATTCATATGTTTGTTGCTCTTGCAAGTGTATTTTTATCACAAAGAGTGTCACGTTGGTCGAATGCTTTTGAGAGACGTCTTCGAGCAACAGGTGGTCGATGCTCCCTTTAAAGACGCTTTTGCTTAGATTATGAAATATTATCATATCCGGTATTCGAAGAGTCATTGAATACAAATTGCAAGAGCATTTAGCATTCTACAGCATGATCACGTTGACTGCCATAGTGGTCACTCCTAACTCGGAACTCGTTGCAATATAGTTTACCAATGGAAGAGGAGCCTTAATACTTATAAAATTGTAACAAACAACGTTATTTACCCCATTGAATTATCGAATATTTTTTCATTTCAGGACATCTTCGAACATGAAAAACTGGTAGCAGTAAACGTGTTAACCTAGCGTTAAAAAAAAACAATTTAACGCAAAGGCACCGAATTCGTTTCTACAACCTAATAATAAAGATTGGTTCAAGGCGGACGGCACCGTGTCAAGTTCATATTATTTACTGTACTATTAGCGATTAGAACTCGAATTACTCAGGAAACTAATTATACGTCTGACAAAACACTCGACCACAATTTTCACTAGTTATAATAGCCCAAGCGTTTGGCGTCATGGAAAATTGTAACCACGGTGCAAATCATTTTCAGGGATCCTCTGCATCACGGCCAGATCAAAATAAAAATAAATCTAGAGGCGCAAGACCGCAAAGGGTTTACACGTTGCGCTCCATTCAGTTCCCAATGATCGGAAGAAGAGGTGGCTGGCAAAAAATAGGTGTCAGCTCTCCAAAATAGTTCCCTACCGTACTATGTAGTATTCCAGCGGAGCAGTCGAATATATGTATATACATATATCCCGTCGAGTTAATTTTACGCGCAGTTTTCAAAATAGTTACGTAGCATCGTGTATAAATGGCACACTCCGGCCGGAGTACGCGCGAATCCATCCTCTAAGTTTGCATTTTCCCCGAATAATTAACCCCGCGCGGACCGTTGTTTGGCAGAAACGAGCAATAATCTCGACCGGATAAAAATCTCACATCAACGGACGAAGGCTATAATGATTCTCGATAAATTGTATAAACACGTATCAGGTTTTTATTCGTCGTTCAACGTTCGAATAAAATTCTGAGCGCGGCCCGAATCACGAAACCAGGAAAACCGAGATTTTCATTCAGTAGTGTCGACTATATTTTGTCAAGTAGCTACCTATATTTCGAAGCCTTTTCAAGCCCTGTTAAAAGCGATCAAGTCGCCTCGAAGTACTTTCGTTACACTTGTAATTACGAAGAAACGAACTTGCCCAGGGAATGTCAACTTCATCGCTTCCGGAGCTTCCTCGGGGGGCCGTAAACTTTAACTTCTGGACACGCGGATCTCACTTTCACAAAAGAATCGGACTTCGGTGGTCGTTCATCGGCAACACCACACCCCCGTGTATCAACATTTCACTATGTCGTGGCGTCGTCGTACAACGCAGAAACGTTCCGAACTATATCCGATGTGCGAAAGGAACCGCGCGAAAGACGAAACCGGTCGAACGTTCGGAACAACCGACTGGCTGGTTTTCAGCGAGGCGCACGGTCGACTGCTCGGTGGAAAACTGGCGGGCCAAAGTCAAAGACTGGACTAACGAAAACGCTAAAGTTAGCCGAGTCGTGTATCGAAAATAGTTCGAAACACGGAGGTGGAGGTCATTACGTTTTATCCCACTTCTCGGTCTCCCTCTCTCGCCAGGCAGAAAAGCCTGGTAGAGAGAGTATGTCGCCCGCTGCATTCTGTTCCATTCCAATAGGACTATAGAACGCACTGAATCATTTCTATCAAAACAATATTCAAACAGAGATGTCCTTAAGTGGCCAAGTGGATTCACTTTGCGCTCGTTGAAAGACAAAATTCGCGCCTCAATGTTCGAAGGGAATCGTCGCGCTTCGATCGGAAAGTATGTCGATAATTTTCCACGATTTTCAATTTTTATGTAGGTCCCTAGCGCTTCCGGATAAAGATTCTTCGACTAAAGTGAAGAAATATATGCATTCGTAACGTAAACGACGAAACGGTCTACCGCGCATGCGCGAGGGTGAGCTTTTAGTACCTATGCGTTATGTGTAGTACACTATGTAGAGTGTACGGTATTATTTGATATACGTGTGTGTGTATTTTTGCATTGTTTACGTAGCGTGTGCGGTATTTTTGCGGTGCGAGTGACATTTGTGATATTTTCGTGAGTTGCCCGCGTCTGCCATTTTTCCTTGTAGATAAAAACAGTTTTTCAGTAAATAGAATCTTATTAAAATCTTGGTTTTAAAGCAACGGCATCATGGCCTGCGAACTATCGTTATACAATAACTAAAGTTTAAAATCTTGGGACGCGTCGAGTGCGGAAATCCTGTGGTTGCATTTTTAAGCGATTTCGTGGAACGATGTTATTATTCATTCCTAAGTCTTGTAACTTTAAAAGATAATATCTTCTAAACGGGGCGTTCGCGAACATACTTCACAGAGGATGCATTTATTTGTTTTGTGGTCCCATATTCGTAACTCAATCTGATCACGTAAATTCGAAACACTCTGTACAATAGATATCTGATTATAAGGCACTTGGTTATCCAGAATGTTCGAATAACCGGCATATTTATCTCGACTATTCTTCGGTAAATGTTACGGATTATATTTTAAACAAACAAAGAAGTCACAGCTGCATGCATACAGCAGTGACGTCGATACTAAGCAGTTGAAGCGTAGAAATTTTTAAGAAAAATCAACATGGGTAGGTGCTGAAATTTTGAAAAATTTCAAATCATCCTGAAAAAATTATTTTCTTTTGCGGGGGGCAATTACAAGCATTTTTGGTGAATACACATACCTCCGAAATCCTACGCACTTTCGAGAAAAAAAATCATCACCGAAAATCTACTGTGAGGCTTCTACATGGTTGCCCGAAATTTCATGCGTATCTTTACAACATCATAACTCCAGAACGGATTGGAGGATTTTAATGTTTCAAACAGCAAACAACGCGTATTTTTGCGAAGAATATGTGAAAATTCTAAAAATTTACGAAAAGTTGTTCCTTAACCCCAGAAAATTTAAAAAAAACCCATAAAAATGGTCCAATTTTCAAACGGCCATACAATAGTGCTCCTACAATAGTGAATATATTTCAATAAAACTTTTTTCTGAAGTAGAGCTCATAGATAGGTACAAAAAGTATAGGAGCACTTTTTTATAAGGCGTGAAACAAAATTACTAAAAATAAAAAACGAATTTTTACGAAAAATCGCCGGATTCCGCCTAAATTTTTCGGCGGAAAAAAAAATTTCAGATCGTTCTAAAAAAATTATTTTCGGTTGCGGGGGTCAACTACAATCATTTTTTTATGAATACACATACAGTTTCGAGAAAAAATTCAGTAAGTGGACACATTTCTCGACGAAATTGAAAAATTTCAAATCGTTCTAAAAAAATTATTTTTAGTTGCGGGGGCGAATTACAATCATTTTTGGTGGATAGACATACCCCCGAAATTCTACGCATTTTCGAGAAAAAAACTCATTACCGAAAATATAATGTATGACCAGAAAATTTTTGATTAGATATAAGTAACTCCAACACGATAGGTAATGTTCGAAAAAAATCGTTGCCTGAAAGGCTTCGAAGCATAAGAGAATGCAATAAACGAGTCGATTTTTGGGGACGTCCGAACGAGAATGTCCCCTTAAGAGAACGAGACTGCAATGGAACTTTGTGACTATTCAAATGGCTGATTTCTAATTAGAACTTGGGTGTCCGAAGTGGAATTGTTGGAGTGTGTTACTAGGTGAACAGGATTTGTCTCTGGTCGCCAGGTGAACAGCGTTTGCGTCCATTAGCGACACACGATTCCAAACACCACCTCCGCGATCGGATGGAAGACGTTGCGCTAAGACGGCCATCGTTTTCCGCGTGCGATATACAGCTACACTTATTTCTTAAGCCCTGGATTAAATCGACATCGAAGGTCTTCGAATAGGAACTCTGGAGAATTTTGCGATCTTTTTAACGCCTTCCCGTACTTTAACGAGTCTGACTCGTGATGAAGATTTTGGCCCAAACATAAATGTCACGAGCCAAACTCGCGGGCAGAAAATCACGACCGTGATTGAGTTTTAGTTCCTACCAGTACCACGACAAGAGTCGGTCACGACTCTTATAATCTCTGTTACAAAGCAGTTTAGCATTAATCTGGTCTGTTTACCGCGTGTTGACGCCTACCGTTTGGGCCCGGATTTCGTTGAGCTAAATGACACGGAAAGGGGTTAACACGTTTCACGTCTAGATGACGTACCATAAAATGTTCGAAAGAAAATCGTGTATCACGATACGATTCGCGATGGTTAAGAAGCAAAGCGAAATTGCGAATTAGGAAGCGCCCTGTGGCTTATAATAAATCTGTACGTTTATACGAGGATCGCAAAATCCATAAGTCACGCCGCTTTCGGAGGTGATTTTGGCCAGCCTACACGTTTAACACGCGTCCCAGGTAAGAACGTACAAACAATCATCGCGACGTGGGTCGTCGTGGGCGTTTTTCCAACAGTTTCGTCTAAAGAACGCGTCTGTTCTTCGGGTCCATTGTCCTTAGAAAATCAACTGCGTGTCTCTGCCTTCAACGTTCAGCTCCATAAAATAATGCGACCTCGTAAGCTTCCAGAACGAAGGTACTTGGAACAGTTCTTAAAGATGGATCTGGCTTCTAACGAGTTCCAATAAAAGAACTTTTCGTCTTTCTCGTGAATCAGAAGTTCAATATTTCAAATGTAAGCTACTACGCCTGGTACCGAGAAGTTCGTCATCCACCTTCAGCGATTTAGCGCGAGGAACGCGGTTGGAAACGAGTCTTTGGTATTTAAAATTCACTGGCGCCCGAGTAGAAGAGAACTGGATTCGATGTCTTGCGTAATACCAATTCCAAATGTTTCGGATGCCTATTGTGTTCGTAACGGCGCTGCGGGTAAACCAGCCGGATACGCCGTTGGGCGAAAAACTGGCTCATACCCTGAAAATTCGTCGATCGAACCCCCGATCACCGGAAAATCCTGCTTTGGAAGCCATTCTCGGAATGTCCTCGTAGCCTAACCAGAAATTTGTTCGCACGGGAACAGGTTTCACGATTGACCGAAAGCCCAGCCTGAGGAATATCATTGATGTTCCATTTACTCTGGAACTTCGCCGATGTCTAAGAAGCCATTTTACTCAAAGGATCATCCCGTACCACCTCCATTTATACCATTGATCGTCCTAAGGGGATTCTTAACCTGGGTTTAATCCCCTGGCTTATAACGTTTCGCTTTTAAGATAAAAATCTGATTTTTCGAGCGCAAACACATTGAACTATTTCAAATTTTTTGATGTTCAAGAATTTGCGTTAGCTCGTTTGGTAGCTACGAGTTGTACTAAATTTAGCACATTGTAAGCAAATGGTTCAATGGCCACTACAAACTCTTGAAATACATTGCTTTTCTCACTGAAACAATAAACACTAATACAATCAACGAATGAATTTTGATTAAAAACTATAAAACATAATTGAAACAACTTATAGGTCTTAAAACAATCTTAAATATCTATAGTACAAACGAAACGACGGTCGATGCAATTCGATCCTTTATTCTGATACAGGCATCCTTGAAGATGCAGATTACAAACACACCTCGAAAGATAAACGTCCTCGCATTGATCTTGACATTTTACCGATCAGTATTAATACTTCCGCCTCGTATTGTCGAAAGAGAACAATTTTTTTTTATGGAAAAAAATTGGAAGGTCATATTTGACGTGCTTGTTATTACCACTATCTCTCGATATACTAAATTTAAGCTTTCGCTTCGAGATAAGAAATCTTGTACAATACTAACAAAACTGGATATCGAACAATTGCTATTATCAAAGTTGCCTTTTTATCGCACAGAAAAGAATTGTTTAAATTACACACACGGTAACATTCTTCAATTTTTGTTCGTTAGATGGTAGACGATTGTGCGCATTTAAACACCTCGGTACAGAATAATCGAATTGGAATCGTTTTCTATTTCGAATAATCGTGGTTTTATGCGACACGAAGTTTCTAGCTAGCGAGAATCGTTAATAATCGTCGTGTACCAGTCTTGGTCTTGACATTCGTCCAAATATGATCACCGAAATCGCCGAGAAGCGTTTGGGCACTAATTCAAGAACGAAAAGATCGGATACACGATGACTTTGTTACTCGAACGATTGCTATAAATCCCTCCATCGTGTAAGAAACTAATTTTCATGTTCTGGTCTGTTTTATCAAGAGCGTCGGTACTAAATTCTTTCAAGGAAAATCCAATAAAACGTAGGCGACAATAAAATCCTCAACAAATTAGTTGCAGAAATACTAACACATTTACAAAACTCGCAACCCACGCGATTACCACGGACCAACTTATTATACCCACGTAACTATTCCAGAACTGGTGTTCGGCTTGGACGTAACATGTTACGTCGATCATCCTACAATTCGCGGGCTCTGTTATCAATTAAACTCGAGCGATAATTTCACTTTCTCGGTTCTTAACATACATCGGACGGGCGTGTTCCGATAAACCCTTTAAATATCAGTGTCCTATATGGAGAACATTCGCGAGAAACATTTGTTTACCAACGATAAATTTCATTCGAGCGTCGTGTGATTTTTTAAGCTACGAAGCCGAGGCCACTGATAGTAGAAAAGTAGAAGATCTCGACGGGAAGGCGGTTACAACTTTGATTGTAGCTCTTGCACGGTCGCGAATATTGGAAAAATGAAAATCAAGCGTCGAGCTCCTAGTATCGTTCGTGGTTTTCCATGGAAAATGCAACGGAGTGTGTAAAGGCTTGGTCGTGAAAGAAGGAAAGAGAAAAGAGTCTGGATAGAAACACGGTGGGCGTCCTTTTGCGCTCTCCCGAGGAGGTGTGACGTCAGTTTTACATATTCGGGCAGTGAGCGATGTATTGAGGAAAAACGATTTCGCGTATGTCTCCCGGTCTCGGGAGGTTGTGTTTGTTCCTGCCAGAAGGACGACGGTTCGAGATACGGCCGCCATCCTTGCACGGTTTAAAATACAGCCGCGAATATTTCTTTGTCGCGAACACAAAGATCTTGGTTCGCTGCGCTTGGTCCTGCGGCTTTCAAGTCGAATATTGGGACAACTAAACGCTTTGCTTGATCCTCGTTCAGACAATCAGGGTACCTTGGTACCCCAAACAATCTATACCGATCTATCAAATATGCAGCCATAATATCGTTCGTTTTGTGTCAGCTGGTTCAAACTGAACTCAAATTTGAGTTTTCCAAAACGATTGCTAAGTAGATTTGCAATATTAATCGGACGAGTACTCGGGACTATTAAAAAAATTCGGAATCCTTCCTAATTTGTAACAAAATCAATAATAAAATGTCTAAATTAGGACCTTCCAAGTCGACTGTTAAGTAAATTCGCAATATTTACTGTTTGAATATTTAGAAACGTAGATGTTGAAATCGAAAGACGGAGGGCCTCGTCAGGACCCACGTCTTAAGAGTTCTCGATTCGTAGACGAAGTTCTCGGGGTTCACAGAGATGGGACCCCGGTCGGAATATACAACTAAAATTAACCACGGCCGTCGAAGTTGTCCTAGACCCTTTCATTGGCCTTTTAACCGACATTTTCTGCTCCCGACCTAGCGCAACACATGTTGCGTATTACCTTCCTAAAGATACACGCCGCCGCGGACGACGGTTTCGCGTGTATTAAACCGCTGAACTCGAAAGGAACAAAAAAGAATAAAATTGTATTTTTAGTGGTCGATGTTACGCAATATCGTGCAACATTGCACCACAATCAAATCTACCGGTGGCGTCTATTTACATAGTATAGGAAGTCAAATCGATGAACCGAAAATAGGTGTATGCCTTTATTCATTAACCCTTCAACTACGACTCCTGCACTACGTACCAATTCATCAACCTTAGTTGCCTGGTAGTAAATATCATTTCGTAACATTTCATTTGTTATATATTTCTTCATGGACTGAAACTAAAATTTTTAATTTTTAATAATGGTGAATGATTTTTCTAAGTTATTCCTTCATTTATATTAAATATATTACTGAGAATTCAAATATAACAAATTTGACTTTCGTCCCTTAAACAACGGATGCAACGTTGCACCGTTGACAACGTTAATTGCTCAGTCAACGACTACGATTACCGTCAACGTCGAAAGGAGACACGAGGCGAAATGATGGCTTTGTGTCTCTGTCCCCTGCACGCATAATCGTACTTAATATGGAAGCGGCACGAGTTACGTTGTTTGGTCGATCACAATGAACGATTCGTAATGAAGAAACGTTGGCTATTACGAAATCGTCGCAATGATCGATGCGATCTTACCAGTTAGACAAAAGCAGGAAAGCTTGTCTAAATGAGGAAAATTGATATTACTCACATTGATTGTGAAATCATATCAAATTTCAAAGCATTCTCTTGCTGAGAATCTGCCCCTTTTCTATTGAAATTTAACAAATAACGAAAGAAGCGAACAATTAAGCGGGGAGAGGTAATTAGAAGAAGAAACGCGTGCTCGGCGATAATTTGTGGTCGATGATCCGCTTCCTGACTTTGAAACAACCGTGGGATTTGTTACACGCGACGGAAAAAAATGCCGTTAGTATTGTTTCAATGCCTATCGTCGTCGTATTGCAGCGTGCAAACCGCGACTATAGTGCAAACTGCAGGATCTCCATGGGTTTCCTCATTTTGTACCAATTAATACAGCTACTTATTGCAACAGTTTACTCTCTGTTAATTCTCATTAACTCTGCTTCTGTAATAATAAATGTTACAGGGTTACAAGATAAAAATACTTTGAGCACTTCTAATGGTACGACAAAAGAGGTAAATTGGAATTTAGCCTTGGTTTTAATGCGCCTTAGCCGATAATTATAATCCCAGTCAATGCATCATTGTACAAATTATTGGACAACTCCTGATCAAGAACAGAATAACTGCTACTTTGGTTCTATTGTTCCTAATACCTTTAAATTTTCTATGTTTCAGGGGGTAGTATGATGCAATGTAATTTAATGTTAATTGGTAATGTGTACTATATCATAAAACCAAAAAATAACATCTGTTTTTGAAATTAATCCTGTACATACATGTCACAACATAACACTTGCATATAACAATTAAGCATGTCCTAAGTTTAAAGTAATATTTCAACTCCAATATCATATTTAAACACATTGAAACTTGGTAAGAAAGCATTGGGACAAAAGAATAAAATATTGAGAAATGTTAAAAGTACGAAGCATTGGTTTGTCCCGTACCATTTATAATTTGCAAAGTGGACTATACACTTCATATTTAATGCATGTTATGTATTCAAAGCTTTAAGAGAATAATGACTATTGATTGTATACCCCTGATATTCAATAATGTCTAGCAAATCGGTGGAATAACATTTTACAATCTTCCGATTTGCGACAAACTATCTATTTACCCGCCTTACGAATCTGATAAGACATAAAACATGAGTGTACCGATCCAATACGGTAATATTTCCAAGAAACGTGAATCAAAACAGTTGTCCATTGCACAAGAACCACGTGCACGGTCGTTCAGAATTTCGTTAACGATAAATTATCATCGGAAGACGAAAATACGGCAACCTTTTCGCCAAGGTTTCTCAATAGTTAATATTAGTTAAATTCTGGAAATCTCTAGGTACAAAGCGTCTTTTTGATAACGTTTCCAATGGTTGTCGGGTACTTATCTTTTATCTAGCAATAGTACACGCCAACACGGTCATTATCGACTGTAAATGACACGAGCAGTTTTGTCGAAAGTACGTAACGTTTGTCTTGCGGTAAATGTTGTCGAAAGCGTTGAAAAAATGCGTTGTCATAATATACGGAGCTGGTTCGAATCACGAGAATACCGAATTTTGTAATAACACGCAAGGAACAATATCGGGAACCGTGTTGATCACGAAAATTTCAAGCGGAACACGTTAGTCATGTTACGACAATCCCTTCGACGTCGTAGTTTCATGCAAATTTTCATGAAAAAATCACGGTATTAGGGACTTACCGAGAAGTGGCTCCTATTTATTTCTTGTCGGTCGCACTCAGCAACAAATTTTCCACGAAAAACGGGTTGTTGTTTTCGTTTTGGACCAAAGACAGACACACAGTGGACGAGAAGCGACAATCTCGCGAAAAAGTAGAGAAATGCGACTGCCGTGTGAAGTTGGCGCAAACAAAGCTCGCGATATCCAAGATGGCCGTCCGTTTCGATTTTTCTAGAGCACCGTTACCTACGATTATTGATCCGTTAAATTAAATTTCGACGTAGACGTTCCATACAGTTCCAAGAGAGAATTTTTTAATAATAACTGTTAATAATTATATATTATACAGTTGCACGTATGTATCGAGCTGTAACTTCGCAGAAGCTCGTCGCAAGCAGTATGAAATATTCATACACGTCCATAGAACAGTCGTCAAAGCGTGGAAACCTTAACTTTTATGAAAAAATTGTAGGATTCAATGGAAGGAACCGTTCATCGAACAAATTGCAAGTTTCTTGCATTACAAAATTACAATTAACGCAATGATGTTGTTTCAAGGTACGTTTAAAACATAGGTTTCTATTGTTGAGATATATATTGTACCTCAAAGTATGCAGTGCATCATTGAAGGATCTAGTTCAAAACTTTGAGAAAAAGTACGTTGAAACATCGTAAACGCGACTGTTCACAACGAACTTTTTTCCCGCCAAGAATCTAGCGATCGACGCATTCGTTCCTAAGAGCATGTATTCGTAATTTGTAAGACAGTTAGGTAGTCGAGGATAGTCCAAGACGGTATAGACATAAAAATAAAAGAAATTAATCTCCAAAAGGACAAGGATAAATTTTTTTTCATTTAGAACGTACAATCGATAACGAAACACTGCAGTTATCGAGGTGTCAGTGGCGCCAACAGTCGTGAGCCGTTGGGCGAAAGATCACGGCCGCCCAGATGGCGCTAGCTGATTGATTTTCGCGCAGTAGCATGGCAGCTTCCGTTCTGCAGAGTGTTTTCAAAGAGCAGGTGAGCGTTTCGTAGACCGCGTCGCAACTCCTTGGTTAGATCAGCGGAGAAGAAGCTCATAAAGGGTTCTACTGTGGAGTGGCCTGGTGTGACTGTGTGTGTGTGAGAGTGTGTTGCCGAACGGCTGGTGTACGATTTGAAAAAAAAAAAGAAAAGAAAGAACCGAACGAACGAACCAGCCCTCCGAAGGAGCATCATTTTACTTCGTGTGAACTCGTGCAGGGACGATCGAGGTAGTAAACTTCCTATTGCTGGGAATGTTGAAGAACCTGCTTCTTGTTCAAGCATCCTGCGAAGAGGTGGGTAAGTTTTGCCGATCTTTTATCTCGTAACGGTCGGTTTTTCGTCGGCATCGATCGAGGTGTTTACAGACAACCAATTTTGAACGATACGTTCGGTTCGTTTTTATTTTTATCTTTAAATCGTGATTGTCTACATCTCGAACGATTAATTCGCAGCTAGCTCGTTATTCCTTCGAGCCTTGCCGCGGAGACGGAAGCGGCACTGGCCGAGTGACATCTGCATCGAGTCAGACGTGTTCACGAATGGCGGTGCGAATATCGATCCTCTCGAGTCTCCGGCCGCGAGGCCGTCTTGGTTTCGAGGTCACCGGGACTTCAGCCGCAACCCTCACTCTCGATCTCGGTATCTTCAACCACGACCTCCCTTTTATCGCAAATTCCTACAACTATATTCACGGTGTCCCGATGACACCGGATGACGTTCGATGGTGATTGTTAATATCCTGTCGCGCGTCGTGCTTTTAATAAAAGGATCACCCCGTTAAAAGCTCTGCATGTAAGACATAACGACTCGATCTAGGATCTATCCCCGTCTAGTCCTGTACCGTATAAAACGGAAATAGAGTCAATTGCATATTGTTGCACTAGAATTTGACTAAAAAGAGTTGTTTCATGCACAGGGAGTTTGTTATTATCGATTAATATTGAACAAAAATCTTTTATTACCTTTTACAGAAGCAGAATTAAACATGAGAAATGGTGATAAAATAAATGTATGCACCTAAAAATGAGCTAAATTAGTTTGCCTTTGAGGAAAAACGACCTTTTTATGCAGTCAGTCAAATATAACAAACATTGAAGAACGATAAGAAATTATAATGAAGTAATTTCCTACTAATTGTAGGGAAGATAATGCGCAAAACAATGCTGTGTAGATAAAAATATTACGACAATGTTAGTGGTAACAAGTTTTTAACGTTTTAACAAGTATAAGGCTTTCGTGTCGAAACTAGAAGATGTATCGAAGATAGAAAAATTGAAGTGTATTGGTCGCGAAATGAAGATTGACCTGTGCAGCAACCCTGCCGTAAAAGAATTTTGGCGCATAAGTTATATAAGTCGTAGTAGAATCGCTCAAAGTGTGTCCTAATTTTAGAGACGCAGAAACGAATGCGGGGCATGCAGGCGTTCGATCCAAATCAACCGACACAGCCACTTACGATCACCTTGACCGTGATGAGCGTGCTAATCCTTCCGTGTCGTAATTTCAAATCCCATTTCCGTTACGATAGAGATTTCCTACGAACTATATCGGTATTGTTTAAAGAATACTTTCAAGAGCCGAGCGAAACTTTTGTTACACATTAGAACAGAACTTACGTTCTTTGTACTAATAAGTGTTTTACTTTTTCAATTGTATGAAACTACGAATTACCAAATCCAGAACTTAACGAATTTAATTTTCAGGTTTAATTCAGCGTTTGTTATGAGAGTACAGGAAGTTACAGAAAAAATTGAAAGTTCTATCATCAATGAGACTGTCCGCTGATTAATTGGCGATTAAAAACTGATGGAGTCAATGATTAATAGTTATAGATTTATTTTGAATAGTTATACAGAGTGTTCGGTCACCCCCCGGGAAAAATTTTAATGGGAGATTCTAGAGGCCAAAATAGAACGAAAATCAAGAACATCAATTTGTTGATTGAGGCTTCGTTAAAAAGTTATTAAAAAATTAAATTACAAAATTTCAAATCGTTCTGGAAAAATTATTTTCGGTTGCGGGAGTCAATTACAATCGTTTTTGGTGATTATACATATCCCCGAAATTCTACGCACTTTCGAGAGAAAAATTCATTATCAAAAATATAATTTCTGGCCACAAATGCCTCCTCGCATGCAATTGTTTAAAATGTCATAACTTCTAAACGAATTGGAGGATTTCAATGTTTGAAAGGCAAACAACGCGTATTTTAATGAAGAATATTTAGAAATTCCAAGAATATTCGAAGAGTTGTTCCTTAACACCGTGAAGTGAGAAAAACCTCATAAAAATGGCCCAATCTTCAAACGTCCATAACTTCTACAATTGTAAACGTATCTCAATGAAATTTAATATGGAAGTAGAGCTCATGGATATCTAAAAAAAAGTACGAAACAAAATTTCCGTAGGACGTTTAACAAATTTATTAAAAATGAAAAACGGATTTTTAAGAAAAATCGACCCAGGGGTACTGAAATTTTTCGGCAAAATTAAAAAATTTCAAATCGTTCTGGGAAAATTATTTTCGGTTGAAGGGGTCAATTACAATCATTTTTGGTGAATAGACACATCACCGAAATCCTACGCACTTTCGAGAAAAAAATTCAAGTAGGTGGATAAAATTTTCGACAAAATTAAAAAATTGCAAAACGTTCTGGAAAAATTATTTTTAGTTACGGGGGTCAATTACCATCGTTTTGGGGGAATATACATACCCCCGAAATCCTACGTACTTTCGAGAAAAAAATTCTTTACCGAAAATATACTGTGCGGTCGGAAATGTTTCTATAACTTTTTAACAAAGCCTCAATGAACAAATTAATATTCTTGATTTTCGTCTTATTTTGGCCTCTAGAATTTTCCATTACAATTTTTCCCAAGGGTGGCCGAACACCCTGTATAGTTCCTTATTGCCCAAACAAATAGTTTTGGTCATTAAACTAGAAGCCAGATTCTGGTTAAAAAATTAGAATTTGAATTAAATAGAACTATGCAGCTATTAAAAATAATGCAGAAATTCTCAATGGTGTGCGAGTTTCCGTGAAGCGATGCCTATATTTCGAAATTGTTTTAAGCATTTTGGACCCTGTTGGTAAACAACGCTTAATCGATGAAACAACACGCGAGGAACGTTTATTTGTATAGACCGTTCTCAAGTACGTTTATCGTTGATGCGTGCTTTCTTTTGTTTATGTCTTTTTTCGGCCGGGTTAAATTGTTTGTTGTTTATTATTTCCGACCATGTTGTCGAGCCCCCAACGAATCTTTTTTATCGGAGGCTCTCGATTTCGTAAGGTCTCGAGGCCACGTAACTGTTTATCGCATGAAAAAGGATCGTAGTAAAAAGTGACATTTCTATGTGAATGAGGAGCCTAATTCTTTGTACGATAGTGTTATCCCACTGTTTATTCACTGTATAAAGGCTGTTAAGATTGACTAAAAATACATCACCGTTTCGAAAGCTGTGTAATGCTTTCTTGATAACTTTCAATAAAATCTGTATTACAAAAAGAAAAGTATTATTAGAGACTAGGCAATATGCAATCAGCAATTTCTCGTAACAAAAGTCTACAGATTTTCTCACGAAATCAATAGTAATTATTTGCAATATGACGTTGTTTTCCTGGCGAGCGTAGTTCTATAATAAAAATTTATGTATTCTTTTTTCGTTGTATAAGCAGTGTGTACGTCACGATAAATTTGGATAAATATTGATACGTACAATCACTGACCGGTCGCTGTCTATATACGATTACAATAATCATCTGTCGTTGCTTTTCTCTGTAATTCTCGATAAACATTTCAGATAATCGGTGCGTCGTCGTCAACAAGCTTGTATTTAATTCAAATTTCGAATAATTCTCCGTCCCGTACAAATATTGGTTATCGCTGGATCGTACAAAGATGACCGGGGAAATTCTATTCATTGCACCATATTAGAAACATTCTATTTCATATCGGGTTTTTTATAAAATCTTTGATCGAGTTCGTCGTTATTATAATGAATAATAATAATTATACCTTAAAATTATAATCTGTTGTCGCCATAGTTTGGTAGCCAGTTAAGAAAAGTTGAAAAATGTAAAAAGACCGCGAACAAATGAAAAATCGATTTTGTGGTCGCGTAAAGTGTTAAGTTACCCCTTAATTATCTCAGAGCAGTTGTTCGAAATCATCTCCAGTTTTAATGGCCTTTGGAATCTTGCGAAATTTCGCGGGGCTTTTACTAGAGCGGTACGCGGACCGAAAATACTGCGACGAGATTTTCAGGCCGTGCTAATTCCGAGCTCCGTACAAATTTGTGCAAACAGCGTTGCGCAAAGCTCGGTGTACCGATCATGATTCGCCTCGATTCGACGAATGTCGTTTCGCCTTTTTTTTTCTGTGTCAAAAATTTTTAAATGTCGTCCCTGGCATTTTTCCACGCGAAACTATCGTCAGCATCCGCGGATGCAGGCCTACGTTGTTATTGAACGGTAAACGGTGCGGAACACTTGCGATTTAATGCTTCAGAAATGCTGAATCGGCCAGGCAAACCCGGACGATCGATAATGTGAAAAAAAAGAAAAAGAGAACGAATATAATGCTGACGTCTCTGATCACTTTGAGCGTATCGTATAAATACCAATTTCGAGTTCTGTCGCTTGGCTAACATTTTTATTTCTCCATTCAGAACGTCGACTACGCCCATAGAATTTAAAAGAACTAATTGTAAATTTTTCCTGAACAAAAAAGAAAGATAAGTTAGGTTCTTATATTCTGGTATTTGTTGTATTTAATTGGTCGGAACAATTAGAAATATCGTCGGTAACAATAGTAATTTTTACGCTTTTATTCAGAAAACTGTCTGCCGCCGATGCATTGTGTGTCGACTACGAGTCGTAATTATCTTGTTTCTAAATTGTTCAGCCTAGCAGATGGAGAATGATTTTTTACTCTCCTTGCTGTAAACTCATATCGTCATAGTCGTTTATTCACCATTGTCGTACAGTGACGAGTCCGATTCGTCGTAAGTTCTTTATGCCAAGTTTCACAATAATGAAGCTCGTCGGGAAGTTGTAAACCAAGTCTGTTCTTCCTTGTGAGCATCGTATGCACGGAGAAATTTAAATAAAGTTGAATAGTATAGGCTTGAGAAGTTATTTATAATTAAATTGTACGTTGAGGGATTCTAAGTTTATTCGTTTTTTTCCTAAAAACTAGTATTAGGGGGATTGCTCTGCAGTTAATCGAATACAATTGAACTAGTCCAATTTACACCGGGAGCAGTATAAATACTTCCTTGCTATCTCTCTGCA